GCAAATAAGGTGGGCAGTTGCAAAAGTAGACAGGGCTTCTGCTGCTTCAATAGTTGTGCAGAAGACAGAATTTCAGCTGATGCATCTTTTAATACAACTTACCTCTGCTGAATCCCCTCTTTTTCACAACTATCAAAAGGCGCAGAAGCCCTGGTCTCTGTTTCACATCTGACCATCTTATCTACAAAGGCATGGCAGTCCCGCTTGTAGAATGTTTATTAAAGAGGAACAAAGCCGAGTTTTCCGATTCCACAAAAGTGGATTAGAACGAGCTTGTTCTACAAGTTACAACACAAACATTTGCATAGTCACTATAAAAGCAATTGCATCATAAACAAAACATTGAAGGGAGAACAGGTTTATAAATGTGCAATTAATATATAACTCTGCTTACGACCGATATTGGCTCAAAAAGGTGGCATAACACTCGTACAGATGAATGCTACAAGCTTGTTTCTTGAGAGCTCAAAACCACTGGGGATTTTCCATCTCTTAATAGTGGTATTCGGAGCATGCCCTGACTTAATTGCAGGGCACAATTAATTGAAGGTTCTTAAACAGTTCACTGTGGGGGTTTTGGCAACGGAGCAAAGAGTTTGAAAAATTGCTAATACATTTTGAGTCACATTCTAAATATATCTAGATGGTGATAGGAATCTTACATTTTCTTAGATATATCAAAAGGATTGCTTTAATTCCCAGCTTGCTAATTCAGACAGGAAAATATTTTCATGTTACAAAACTGGAATTTGATTTTACTATAATCTCCAAGTTTATTTTATTATTACCAAAATGGGGGTGGTGGGTAGAATCCAATTACATTAATATGATACAGTGGTACCTCGGCTTAAGAACTTAATTCGTTCTGGAGGTCTGTTCTTAACCTGAAACTGTTCTTAACCCAAGGTACCACTTTAGCTAATGGGGCCTCCCACTGCCGCCGCGCGATTTCTGTTCTCATCCTGAAGCAAAGTTCTTAAACCAAGGTACTATTTCTGGGTTAGCAGAGTCTGTAACCCGAGGTACCACTGTACAAGAGAATTAGAAAGTGTAATGCAAACAATAATCAAACCTGTAAATTAAAACAACCAATCTCAGCTCGCTTTGGCTCAGTTCCTTCTAGAGTCTGTATGTATGCTTGAGAAACTGTGGGCACAGTACATCAAGTTATGTGAACTGATTTCAAGTGTGCCTGCATATAGACCTTAAGAGTGCAGTCCTATACATGTCTACTTAGAAGTGTTTTTTTAAAAAAATATATATATTCCCTTTTGCCAGGGATCCCTGGGAATTCTAGTACATTTTAAGTGAGGCTATTGTTTGCTTTCCGAATCCTCTGCTCCTCTGCAAACTACAGTTCCCAAAATTTCTGGGAGAAAGCACAATAAACTGGTATAAGACAGATGCAGTTTGTAACGCAGATATATAACATTACATTTCTGCATTTGTTAATCACTTTCCCCTAGCTTTTTTAAAAAGTGCAATATGCATTTTAGATCAAAGCTTCCGAAACCAAAATGTTTCATGGGCTTAGGATCCCTGTGCCAGTTTACATCAGCACCAGAATCGTATGGTAACACTTCACCTGGACTGTGCCACTTAAAACTGCAAGCCAAAGATCACATCGATCAGAATGCTTCCCTATGAAAAAGCCCCACTTCCAAAACCACGCACACAGAAAGTTAGCATGCCCAAGGAAAGCTTGAACTGCTAGCTTTCTATGGCCACTGGTATTCAGATCCTGAAGTGGCAAGTTCCTGGAAGCAACAACTATAACCCCATGATTCTTTTGATGAACTTGGTCCTACAGTTTCAGCTTATGTTTGAGATGTGAAACTTTGTACTTACGTAATTGTGCACAGAATCCACTGTCGTCATCCTGGTAACCTATCATATCTTATGCATTTTCAGCAGAGTCTTAGGCATATTTACTCAGAAGTAAATGCCCTGTCCAATTCTAATCATTCCCAAATATGTATGCATGGAAATGCAGCTTTTCATCTGCTTGCCCCTTTGCCAAGTCTTTTCCCACTCCAATTTTCCTGTTTTCAGACCAATAGCATCTGATGTATTAGGATAAGTATGAATGCAAATTCAGTGTTTATTAAGGAAAAACTAAAACTAAGTTTATAGTGCTGGGTGGAGGAAGGGTGTGTGTGTGTGTCAGTGTGTACATTTTTGGAACTCTAAGCAGAGATGAGCCAATCACGGCATTCAACCAGCTTCAGTGGCGTTTGATAGCTAAAGAGAAAGGCTTCTTTGGGAAAGATTGGAAAGGTGGTTAACACACGCAGTCTCACCTTCCCAAGTATTAAAACATAAATTACCGCCAACAATTCACAACCCATTACCACCATAAGTTCTGCAGCTTTTAAGATAAAGGTAAAGGGAGCCCTGACAATTAAGTCCAGTTGCGAATGACTCTGGGGTTGCGGCGCTCATCTCACTTCACTGGCCAAGGGAGCCGACGTTTGTCCGCAGACAGTTTTTCCGGGTCATGTGGCCAGCATGACTAAGACGCTTCTGGCAAAGCCAGAGCAGTGCATGGAAACGCTTTTACCTATGTGCAAATCACACTTCTCATTTTCGCATAGTGCAAACTCCCCAAATGTTAGGGAGCAACTTCTGAAAATGGAAATGTTTGCAAGACCACCCAAAGCTAATTTGCTTCTTGACAGCAAATGAATGAACGTTCGCTCACCTTACCCTACAGAGAATTGGGACATTGGCCCATCTAGCACAATAGTGCATGCACTGACTGGCAGTGACTCTTCAAGGTTTTAAACAGGGAATGTTCCCAGACATACCTGGAGGTTTCAGGGATCGAACCTGGACCCTTTGGCATGGAATGTGTGTGCTACGGCCCTTCCTCAATCCTGCCTTCCTCCCACATGTCAGTGGCGTAACTTAAGGCTTGTGTGGCATCTTCAAGATGTGCACTCCATTTAAGGTGAGAAATGGCCAAGCCTATTAGGCCCTGCATAAACTGTAGAATCAGCCCCCACTGCACTGGACAAAGCTGGAGAAGACTGGCAGTGATGGACAAGGTGGTTTTTCAGGGACACTTCTACACCATAACTGAGCTTCTCAGTGAAGAAAATAAAAATAATCCTGGAACACAGTTTGGAATCTGCCCAGTTGAGGGAAAATATGGATAGAAAATGGAATTCAAGTTAGGAATGAAAATGGGGACGACGACAACCAAACCCTCAGAAACCCTGATTGAACCCACAGCCCAAACTAATTCCATGATAGGAACTGTCACAGTACAAAGTGTTTTTAGCAGTCAAGGGTGCCTCAAAAATATTCTGCGCAAGTACATTTCCTTTGGCTAGCTGAGACCTCTCCTCACTGCTCTTGCTACAGAGGAATGTGGGTAACTTTCCACTGAGTTCTGCAGTTGGAGAGGCAGCAATCTTAAGTCACTCCTTTGCTTTAAGTAATGACCGGTTCTTGTTTTCCTTCTGTAATGAAATTCAAAGTGATGATAAAAGCTGGAGGGAGACTGTAGAAGCACCAGTCTCACTCTCGTCGTTTTTGTGGAAAGACGAGTCTCCCTTCTAAGTTGTATCCTTCATGAAAGGCCATCTCAAGTTCAAAGTCCTGGAAGCATGAAAGCCCCCCTGAAACGTTTCACTAAGTTTGACTCTGCAGGTGTGTGTTTTTTTCCTTCTTCTTCCTGAGCAGGAACTTCACAAGTTCACCTGACTGTAAAGCAAATGCAAGGAGCCACTGATGGATGTGCAAAACTCATAGTAAAAAATTGAGCTAGCTTGGCTATTTTATTTGAACTCCAGATCTACTTTAAGCAGAATTTGGGGGTAACAGTTCTCAGAAGGGTCCAAGAGCTTTATGCACCTATATTCACCAGCATCTGCTATGCCATCTGGATTGCAATCCGTACACCCGTATCCTGCCTCACATTTGCTCTCCCCTCATAATCAGGCACCGTAAAATACTACGGCGGGTGAGCAGCAAGGCGGCACTTCCCCACAAACTATGAGCACAGGAACTTGCAACAGCTGGTAAGATGGACACGGCAGGCCTCAGTCTCCTTGCGCAAGGAGAAGTAGTGGCAGCTGTATGCGAACACAAATGAGTTCATAAACCTCTTCCCCTGATCCTCATCCCACCCAATATTAGCAGAGGTCAATTCAGCCAAGAAAAAATGGCCTTAATCCTGCTTTTTCAAGAACAGAGGAGCCCAATGACATGGCCCTAGAAAAGTTCGACCTGGGATAAAATCCAGCGTCACACATTTGGCTTAAAGTGCGCTAACTTCCCATACTCAAAAAGCAGAACCTACTCTGTAGCAGTGTGGAACTGTACTTAGTTGAGATGATGTCTGTACTCTTTAAGGGTCCCTGGAATGCTGGCTAGCTATCTGTTGACAGTCTGCTTAGTTGCGGTGTCAGATTTAGCTAGCTCCCTGAGTTTAAATAACGTCCGTCGCCCCCCTTCATATTAGATTTAAAATTTCCATAGTGCTGGCTCTTCAGAGAATAGGGAAGCTTTTGTGGAATGTTGCCCGGGAACATGCTGAGAGATAGGAACTATTGATCGGGTCGTAACTAAACTCCCAATGAAAACCCCTTTGATGCAGATAAAACTCTGGTGCTGTCCTTAGAATAATTTCTGCAGGGAGGAGATACACATCCCAAGGGTGCCTCGGGTCTGTTGCACTGAAGTGCAGAGGCAGTGCACTTGAGAGAGATGCGATGAACTCATGGGACGCTGCCACAAGATCGCAAGAACTGGGTGCCGTTGTGCTCAGCTCCTGCTTGCAGACTTCCAGTGGGAATCTGTGAGAACAGATCTGTTTTCCCACTGTGAGAACAGGATGCTGGACAAGATGGGCCTTTGGCCTGAACCAGCAGAACTCTTCTTATGTTCCTACAAACGCCAGCTGATAAAGCTGCCGCAAGATCCCTCCAGCACCTTGAGAAATTAATGATGCATTGCAAAGCACCAGTAGCGTGCAGAGTCAGCGAAGCACCATCTCAGACATGGTAGACCTCTTCTTCCAAGGCGTGGTTCACTTCCCCGCGTAGGTGGCTGAAGGTGTTGTTCCGCAGGATTTGCCAACCGCGGTGGAAACTACTCTGGGTTGTGCTCCGCGAGACGGTTGGAGACGGTTCCTTCCGGAAAGGATCGTCCAGCTCTAGCTTCCCGGATAACTTGTCCAGATCCTCTTTGTCTTGGCCCTTAAAGGCCTCTGCATAGCGAAGCATCTTCTGCTTGCTGGCATCCAAACGTTCTTCCACCCTGCGCGGATTAGAAACAATGAGGTTAAGGACTCAAGCTTGGTGTTATCAGCAGGAAGCTCTAACCAACAGAGCTGCAAGTCACTTAATGGTCTGACTTAGCTGCTTCCTATATTGCCATTAGATAGAAGACAGAGAATAGATAGATAGATAGATGATAGATAGATAGATGGATGATAGATCAGGCTTCCTCAACCTCGGCCCTCCAGATGTTTTGAGACTACAATTCCCATCATCCCTGACCACTGGTCCTGCTAGCTAGGGATCATGGGAGTTGTAGGCCAAAAACATCTGGAGGGCCGAGGTTGAGGAAGTCTGTGATAGACAGACAGACAGATATATAGACGATACGATAGATAGACAGATGACAGACAGACAGAAAGACAGACAGACATAGCTGCAATTGCTGTGCCATCAAACTCATTCATTCCTGCATGCAAATACAGCACTAGACAAAAGGGACTCACCTGAGAAACCACCTGTCCCCTAGTCCGTACTCTCGCCCACAGATGCCAGAGCGAGGCCAGAGGCATCGTGGGAGTTTCCGCTCAAGCATGACTGTAGTGGCAACAACCTGAAGAAGAACAGGAGGTCAGGGGGCAATCCTTCGACTTGACAGGTTTGTATTCAGAAATCAATCTGTTTCAGATTATCTGAATTTTAAACTTTACTGGATGCAATTCAGATTAATAATGGAGAACAACTATTTTTTTAAAAAAATATTAATGAAGTGATATTTGAGGTAATATAAGGCTATAAGGTAACATCTAGATCATAGCTAGAGAAGCAGCAGCAGACACTATCAATAGCTACCATTTTTACACACTCAATCTACAGGAAGCCAGTTTCATGACTCCGGGCAGGCGTGCCAGCCGAGGGGTTGTGAGGCACTTTGCCTCCCCCCTGAAATTCTTAAGGAGGGGGCTGGGCCCCCTCAATGTTGAGTGGTGGCATGGTGTGCCACGTCAGCGCATCACAGGATGTGGTGCATGACATCAGATGTCGGCCCCCTTCAATAGCAGGGCAGGTTGGCTCTCCTGATTGTGGCCTTCCTCAAATAATTTGACCAAGTGCAGACTGAAGTGCTGAGAATTCTTGTTCAGAAATCCCCAGGCTGTCTACAGGACCAGAATTCCCAGCATTCCTTGCCTGGGAGCCATGGAACTCAAACCAGACTGAAACCAGTGTAAATTTGGACATGTGCTAAGCAAGCAGAGGTGGCCTTTGTAGCACTTCTCATTCTCGTGCCACTAGAATCTCTGCCATGCTCACATTATGTTCTAACCTGTGCTCTCCAAAGCTCATCCCGTTCGCTGGCCACCCGCCAGTGGGTGTCGCCCATCATGGCAATAAGCAGGTTCAGCATGAGCAGAGTGGCAATGATCGCAAAAGCAAAGTACACCACGCTGAACATGAAAGGTAGGTCCACTTCGTAGTTGGCAGGTCCGTCAATGATGGTCAGGAACAGTTCGAAGGTGCTGAAGAGAGACATGGGGTAGTTGTAGAAATGTCCCACGCCATTAGGGTCCTCTGTCTGGAAGATGATGTAAAAGGCTGGTGGCGGAAGGAAGAAAGGAAGGAAGGACATAAAGAGGGCTGGTCAACTACAGAAGATGTCAAGGGAAAGGGCACAGGGTGCATTCTATTAATAATAACAATATTAGTAACAATAGCAGCAGCAGTAATAATAATAATAATAATAATAATAATAATAATAATAAATAACTGCCCTGTACCCATAGATCTCAGAGCAGTTCACAGCATAAAATCACAATACAAAAAATAGAAAATACATAATAAAAACAAAGACAACCCAGTAATCCCCCCTTCCACAACACGCTTTAAAAGGGCATCGGATGTACACCAGCCAAAGGCCTGGTTAAAGAGGAATGTTTTTTGGCCTGGTGCCAGGTGAACCTCTCTGAACGGGGAGCCACTGCAGAAAAGGCCCTTTCTTGTGTTACCACCTTCCTGGCTTCTCATGGAGGAGGCACACGAATAAGGACCTCAGAGGATGATTTCAGGGTCTGGGTAGGTCCATACGGAGAGAGGTGGTCCTTGATGTATTGTGCTTCTGAGCCGTTTAAGGCTTTATGGGTCAAAACCAGCACTTTCCAAAATTGTGTACTTTCCAGTTTACGGGCTGCATCTACTGTCACTGAACCTACACTATTGAAGGCACATCAACACCATGTCTTTTGCTTCTCTTTCCTAGCTTCCTTGCCTGTTGACTCCATGCCAATAGTACACAGTTCCCTGCTCTCTCAGGGTGAGGTTCCACTCCAGCTTTTTCCCCCTCCTTTGGTCTTTGCTCAGTTCCACACTCCTTCCACTCAGTTCTCTGCATCCCCCACTACATCCTTCCTGCAGATCTCTTCTTCTTAATCTAGCACTGCCTCTGTCCCTCTTCCTTCAGGGACCCTATCTTTGGAAGCTCAGTTCCTCTGAGCTCCATTCTTGCCTAGAAAAAACTGATATGAATCCCCACGGCCACTCAATGCACCCATCCGTTTCTGTCTTACCTGATGCAAAGCCAAGTATCACAACCGCCATTAGGCCACAGAAGCGTATAAGATCTCCAAAGATCATCTAAAGGAAGGAGAGAAATGAGATGTTGTGAAATCCAAGCTGTCCACAGCACAGTTATTTCCCACCCAATAAATATCTAGTTTGGACAATTAAAGGTAGACTAGGTAGGTTCGCAGGCTGTAAAGGTAAAGGTAAAGGGACCCCTGATCATTAGGTCCAGTCGTGACCGACTCTGGGGTTGCGGCACTCATCTCGCTTTATTGGCAGAGGGAGCCGGTGTACAGCTTCTGGGTCATGTGGCCAGCATGACTAAGCCGCTTCTGGCGAACTAGAGCAGCGCACGGAAATGCTGTTTACCTTCCCGCCAGAGTGGTACCTATTTATCTACTTGCACTTTGACATGCTTTCGAACTGCTAGGTTGGCAGGAGCAGGGACCAAGCAATGGGAGCTCACCCCGTCGCGGGGATTCGAACCGCCGACCTTCGGATCGGCAAGCCCTAGGCTCAGTGGTTTAACCCACAGCGCCACCCGCGTCCCTTTGCAGGCTGTAGCTATCCTCAAACTGCCAGCTCCAAATTGCTGGAACAGATAGGCCATTAGTCTGATTCAGCATGGCAACTCTTAGGAGGCTTTGGGGAAACTACTGTTGGCATTTAAGGCATTTTTCTCCTGCTTTTGGAGTCTATTCCTGCCATGGCCAGCCATTTTAGCCCTTTCTACGCAACAGATTCTTCTGGAAGGAAGTTTAGATAGGAGGCAAATGGGAGACAGAATCTTGAATTGATGTATCTGAATTTGCAACAAGGTCGGTGGCATTCCTCACCTTCTGTATCATAATTGTGAAGGGGCCAAGCATCTGAAACCCTCGAGCGAAATACATGATGTTGCACCAGCCCAGAACCAAGGCACAGGACATGGGTACCACCTCTCCATCGGTGCTTGTGAGTCGCATTACCATGGTCACCAGGATCAAACATGCATACACGATGCTGCAAAGGAAATGGTACGATCAGGAATGTGGACACCTACAGGTGGTTATCCCGCTGTCAGGGACTGGCTGGATGAGGAAGAGTGGTGGGAGCCGCCCATCCAAGAGCCCCCCAAGGAGGGCACAGAAGAAGACAACTTAGATCCCAGATCCTGGTGGTGGAACACTGAAGAGCAGTCTGTAGAAGGGACAAGCTGGGAGGTGCTAGAAGCAGGGGATTGAGCAATCAAGAGGGGGCAGGAGAAGGAGAGCCTTCCAGGAAAGGCTTAGAAGCTGAGAGTCACAATGTGAGCGCAGACTCAGACAGAGAGGAATCAGGGGTTGGCCCTGCTACACAGTGGCAGGACACTCCCAGTCCTGTGGGGTAGTCTCCCCCTCTGACATCTTGATCAAGAAGAATGGTGCACATGGCTGAGCAATGGGCCAGACAGGCCCAGAGGAGGAGTTCGCCCCCTTGACGCAGCCTTCGTCTGCTTGGGAGGGATCTAATAATAATAATAATATCTTTATTGTCATTGCCCCCTTCGGGGACAACGAAATTACTTGACTGCTCCATAAAAACACTAATTAATCAATACAGTATAATACAGCAAGGGAGATTAGATGACTTTCAAAGTCCGGGCTTCCCATTCAGGGCCGAGATCGCTCTGGAGAAGAAGCTGTTCTTAAGACGGCTCGTTCTTGTCTTCATCGTCCTGTATCTCCGTCCTGACGGCAAGAGCTCGAAGAGACAGTGACCAGGATGCGATGGATCTTTTACTATGTCCAGTGCCTTCCTATGGCACCTTGTGGCATAGATCTGCTCTAAGGTAGAGAGTGGGCAGCCAACAATGCTCTCTGCTGCCTTAACAACCCTGCACAACCCCATCCTGTCCTGGGCAGTACAGCTTCCGTACCACACACATAAGCCATAAGTGAGCACGCTCTCAATGGCACAGTGATAGAAGGCAAGCAGCAGTTTCTGCGGAAGATGGTTTTTCCTTAGTATTCTCAAAAAGTACAGTCTCTGCTGCGCCTTCTTCACAAGCCCCCTTGTGTTAACACTCCAGGACAGATCCTCTTGTAGCGTGAAAAGATAGAGGGGAAAGAATGGAGGTAGATTTTACTCTAGGAAAAACCCAGGGAACAACCTAGAGGCTATCGCTGCATCCTCTTGAGAGACTAGATTCTCACTAGATTCTCCCAAAATTCCTCAGAACTACCAGCTGAGGAATAAAACTGACTAATTCACTCACATTTTGACTTCAAGCAGAAAATATTAGTTGCGACTCTCAGAGAGATTTCCAAAGAAAGAGATCTGGGATAGAAGAAGCCCATAAAAGGGGTGGGATGATGGGGAATAAGAGACAGAGAGCAGGTTAGTAAAGGAGGGTTTTTAATGAGTTTTGGAGATGTAGAGACTCACATGATGATGTGGAAAGGTCCTCCCAGGATGGTTCGTCCAAAATACTTAGTGGCTCCAACTCTTAGAATATCTGGAATCTGAAACAATTGCACCAGTTAGAAAGGAACAGCTGTTTTTCACCCAGAGCTGGAGCTACTTGTGCCCTCATAGCCATTTGGTCCAGCCCAGCAGCCTACCCTCATTATGATTACTTTTTTATTATGCTGCCTATTATTATGCTTTATATTATGTAATTATTATTATGCTCCATAAAATGTGTTCTTAATGTTGTACAACGTCCTGGGATCTTTTGGTAAATGGTGGTATATAACAACAACAACAACAACAACAACAACAACAACAACACCTTGGGCTTTTCCGTATCCTAGGTACCAGTTTAAGGGTCAAAGTGTGTTAGGGAGGAGATTAAGATCTGTTGTGGAAGTGATATAGTCCCCAAAATAAGTAATTTTAAAATATAAGCTTCCCCGAGTCTATTGAATAAAGTCAAGCATAGATCACATGGATAGTAGTGGCAAGGTAGAATCTACTCTAGAAATTTGGGGTGTATTGGCCAAACACTTCCAAACATAAATGGCATAAATACCACAAACTATATTTGACTCAGTGCATAAAATCAACAACAAGTTGGATTGCCTTCTTTCAGTCTGCAAGATAGGTAGCTGCTGATTATAGTAATCAAGTCATGCATAGTTTGCACTGTTGTTTGCTAGCAGTTGGAAGTGCTTGGGCCAAACTACAGGGCCCATGTTTTTCTGGAGGAAGTGTTGACAACTGAACTGGTTTCAAAATTTTGTAATCTAGATATGCTCTATTGAAGCACAACAGTTCAGTGCCGACCCAAATGGAAGAGGGAGCTCGTGGACTGGTTTTGGTTTCGTTTGAACAATAGCTGTTGCTGGTTTTCCTCACCTCGAGGAGCAAAATTGCCATGGCTCCTATCACAGTGATCAGCTCCCCCACCAGCCTGAGATGATCTTCATATGTCTGATAGGACTCCTAAAAACAGAGAAGAAAGGACAACTGGTTAGTGAACGAATAAGGAGATGAGAAAGCCCTGAAAAAGCGACACATTGAACTTGGAAAGGCTCAACCCTTGATTTCCCCCCATTGCTTCTAGGCATCTTTAAAAAAATAGGGTTTTGTTTTTTACATTGCTTTGTATTCATATTCTTCTGTTTTCTTTCTGTTCTTGTTTCAGCTTTGAAAGTTCATAAACGTTGTTTACTTTGCACTTTGCAGGCACAATTAATAACTTTAAAAAGACCACAGCCAATAAACTTTTACATGGATAAATACATAGCTGGAATGCACCCAGGTTTCCTGGATTATCTCTTTGCCATCTCCAAATTCTTCCTATGGCGATAGATGCAAGACAAGGCAATAAACTTCCTGAGATGGAAGAGTGGATTGCTGCCATTTCAGGCTCCAGGTGGGGAGATGCAATTTTTCAAAATGTGGAACTTCAGGGAGAAAGGTTCCAGCCTAGCTGTGTCTCTGCTATGGTAGTTATTTTAAGTATTAAAAGGTCAAGGACCCCTGACAGTTAAGTCCACTTGCGAATGTCTCTGGGGTTGCGGTGCTTGACATTTGTCCGCAGACAGTTTTTCCGGGTTATGTGGCCAGCATGACTAAGCCACTTCTGGTGAAACCAGAGCAGCACATGGAAATGCCATTTACCTTCCTGCTGGAGTGGTACCTATTTATCTACTTGCACTTTGACGTGCTTTCAAACTGCTAGCTTGGCAGGAGCTGGGACACAGCAACGGGAGCTCACCCCGTCGCGGGGATTTGAACCGCCAACCTTCCGATCGGCAAGTCCTAGGCTCAGTGGTTTAGACCACAGCGCCACCCGCGTCCCTTTATTTTAAGTATGGATGTTTTCAAAAGTGAGATACGGCTTTCCTCACCTGCAATCTTAAATGGTATAAAGCCCTTTTAATTCTTTTAGGGTTTTACTATTTGTTCCTGCCTCGTTTTGCAGCATGCATGGATTCACTGAGAAACGTGGACCAATAGAACAGGCCTGTTTATTTATATAAGAGGCTATTAACAAAAATAATTGAATTTTAACAGAGGGAACCACATACATACACACCTGCAGCGTTTTCTGCACGGCAATGGTCATATCCCGCTCATCTGTTTGATTTTCTGACCGTGATTTCAGAGGTCTGTAAATGCAGGACATGGTGAAGCAGATAATGTACAGGACATAAAATAATGCCAGGAAGCAGAAGTATGGGCGCCCGTAAGTGTTCCACTTCAGACTCACAAGCTCCTTAACTGGAGTGATGTCTAGGATGCGACGAGCCTGTTGGGAAGAAGCAGAGATTGAGTTTAGCTCCAAAAGACATTTCTTACTGGGACACAGTTTGAAGGGAGGATGGAAAAAACACATTTCTACAAAAAATGTATCTCCACAAAGCTCTCTCTCTCTCCTTCTCTCTCTCTCCTTTCCATCCCAAGTGAGGGCGAATTCTTAGAGGAGAATGAGTGCAGATCTCTGCAAACATTTGGCAGGGCTGCTTTCCAAAGGGCTGAACAAAAGGGTTAGACTGCTTATCTGTCGTGAACAGGGATGGAGGAGAAATATGATTCAGTTCACATTTAAAGCTGAATCTCTCAGATCTGTACTTTCTGAAACAACGTACAAACAGTCTTTGGAATTCCACACTGATCTGAATTTTGTGATGGAGTTCTCCAAGCGACAGTTGTTTACAAAAATGCATGCATCAGGGGGACATTAAAAAAATTAAGACGCTAGTGGAAGTTAACATACAAAAAATGCATTCACTCAGGGGAAATAGCTTGCAAAAAGGTGTACACAAGTCAAAACTGCATATAGAAATGCGTTTATTAGGAGAAATTCACCCTAAAACTCTGATGATTTTCAAACTGCTGCAAAACATAAGAAAACTGAATTTTAGCTTGGGCAAATGAGAAACTAGGAAGATTTAAATGGACAGTTCATTCCATCCCTAGTCTTGAGTGGTTGTGTGTATATGTCCTGGTGTAACAGAGAGCAGATTAGATGGCTGTAGGTAGAGGTGGGGGGCGCAGATATGAAGAGCTCTGCCTTTTTCTGCTTAAAGGGGAAGCTCTCTGCCACAACACCTAGATTGCGTTATTCTTTGCCCTTCGCAACACTCAAATTCTGCCTCTTCTTTGAAGGATTTAGCTTTATATCTTAAGTCACCATTCCCTGCTGAAAGGAACCCTAAGTAGACATATTACGACATTTCCTGGTGGGCCAAGAAAGTGAACAAGAGTGGCAAGGGATTTTTAAAAAGGTGGGGGGGAGTTAAAGGGTCATAGGTCAGGGCTAGGGAGCCTGTGGTCCTCTGGATGTTGCTAGCCTCCAAATCCCACCATCCCTAAGCATTAGAATTGCTGGCTGGGGTCGAAGGGAGCTGGAACGCAACAACATCTGGAAGGCCACAGGTTTCTCATCCAGGGAAAAGAGGCCTTCAATAGCAAACATGTTGCTGTGAACAGAAGGCGCATAAAGTTAGCAATAAAAGGGAGGATGGAACACAGAGGTGGGGAAGTTTGCTCACCAGGCTGCGAAGGCAATCTTTTTTTATTGGAGTTTTAACAGCCAGCATAAATGCAACTTTGCTTATCTGAAACCGCCACCCAAGATTTACAATAATATAGGTGCCAAAAAGGTAGAACAGGGGAGGGAAAGTGGAAAATGTTTACAGAACAATGTGGAAAATGGGATTATAGCGTCTCGTGACTTCTGCTAGCAACTGATGTCATTAATAGATAGGCCCAAAGAGCTGTACGACACATACTTCAATGGGAATGCCAGATAATACCTTTGTTATGTGTTGGTGCTTGCAAGAGATCTGCTACCTTGCCATGAGAAATTAATTTAATAAAAGAGAGGCAACCTAGGACAGGGGCAGGCAGATGGGAGAGAGGGATGGTGGAAGCAGGCACTTCCACATGGCCGTTTACTGCTAAGTGTTGCTAATCCAAGCACGTTTTGTGCAAAACCATCAGTCCAATTGGCCATATCCTATGCACAAGCTCAGTATCCCTTTGTTGGTGGATACCGGACATGTTTTGTGCAGCTTCCACAGGACATCATCCTTATCAAAATGCCATGCCATATCATTTCCACCATTTAATCTGGATTTATACCGTTTCCAGGGATTAAACAGGGAAACAAAGTCCAAAATCATGTGGCAGGGACTCCAGTTTACTGTTAAAACATGAAATTGTGCTGATGTGTATACAGTACAGGCCGACGCTTACCCATGGGTGGTATCTAGGATTTGTAATTTATGCTCAGAGGCAAAACCTATAAATGAAGTATGAAGCAGCAGAGGGTGCATGGGGGCGTTAATTACTGTATTTTTGCTCTATAAGACGCACCAGATCATAAGACGCACCTAGTTTTTGGAGGAGGAAAACAAGAAAAAAAATATTCTGAATCTCAGAAGCCAGAACAACAAGAGGGATTCCTGCGCAGCAAAAGCAGCGATCTCTCTTGCTGTTCTGGCTTCTGGGATAGCTGCGCAGCCTGCATTCGCTCCATAAGATGCACACACATTTCCCCTTACTTTTTAGGAGGGAAAAAGTGAGTCTTATAGAGCAAAAAATACGGTACTCTCTAGGGCTAGTTATAGCTCTAAATGCATAGGAGATCTGAAACAAACCTATAATGAAAAAGAAAGGGAAAGAAGGACGACATTGTGCAAGCCAGAGCGGCATGCTGCAGTGTTGGGTGTAGTCAAAGACCAAGGCTGCATATGTGAATGTGCTTCCAGCCACCTTCCATAGTGCCATTTCATGTTTATGATAGTGCAAAGAGGTCAAAAAAAGAAACTAAGGTACGGTGACGTCAAATGTCCCAAATCATACAGGCGAGCTGGTTGATAACAGCTGCTGCCACAAAGCCATTTAACAGGCCTATTGTGCGAGGAGTATTTCCCATGTAATAAACAAGCCATAGAATTTAATGGGAAGACTGCCAAACAGCATATGGAACTTTCACAGCAGGGTTTGCAAAGTCTTAACAGGCAAACCATTTGTTTTTCAGGGGCAAGAGAGGTGCGTTGCCAGAGTTCAAACCTGGAAAATTTGGACTACAAAGCATGTACTGTATCACTGAGCTGTAGTCTTAAGCAGTTGCTGTTTGCAACGGTTATTATATATATATATATATATATATATATATATATACACACACATATACATATACATATATATACAGACACACACACAGACACACACACACACACACACACACACTTTTTTCAAATGGGGTTTTCAGTAAATCAATGGCCAAGGCTTCAGAATAATTCTCAATAGCTTTGCAGCTTAGGAGTCCTTGTTATTACTGTGTTTTCAGGCTCAGAGGCCAAATCCAAGGCACTGCCTCTGACCAAACCTGTGCTTCTGCTTCTGAATTTTACTCATGGGAAGATTCTGGATCATATGAAAAGTGACAGTCTAGCCCTAGCAGCCACCCTAGCCCTGTTGCAGCTTCCCAACAGCCTATACTGAATGATGGGCATCCTGGGGAAAAAGAAAGGTTGCAGTATGTAGTGGGGTTCTTAGGAGGCCAGAGGGGTAGAAGCAGTTTGCAGTGGGAGGAGGAAAACAAACAGGAAAATAAAGGACCAAGGACGCTAACTTGGCCAAGTTTCATGAGGCTAGATGTGTGTGCATTAAGGCTTCATTATCCCACCGAATCCACTGCAATTAGTAATGCGAGCATTTCAGGCAGCTTCTTGGATCTTTAAGAATATTCCACAATGCAACTTACACTTTGAGATAGATTGCAAAGCCCCAGAATACACAACTGCCATTCCCTTCCCTTCCTAATGAAGGCTGGAAGACAATAGGGGACACAGGGCCAGCTTGGTACAGGCTGAAGGCTACTGTGCAGAGGCTACTCCTGTAATTCTTAGAGGTACTTGAGACAGATTTTTTTTTCTTTTGACTTGAATAAAGCACTGAACTTTGCTACGATATCTCTAGAATTCTGTTCTGAGAGGAAAAGCAACGTAAAGCAAGGACGCATGCCTATCTGTTTGGAAAAGAGCTCTGCATGCCATGCCGAATTGGCAAATTTAACTATGGAAATTAAGAGATCAAGAAGAGGCAGACTTTAAGGAGGAGTGGAAACCTTTTGAGGAATATTTAAAGAATTGTTGTGAACATGTAAAAACACATGTAGGATTTGAATGAAGAGCAGCAGTGTGGAAAAGGTAAGGTACAGAATATTAATAATATGCAGCAATTTTAGAAATTATGGGGGAAACCATGGAGGGGGACGAGGGGAAGTCGAATGTGAAATGAACGTGTATCTGGAAAGTACAGTGGTACCTTGGTTCCTGAATGGCTTGGCTCCTGAACGCTGCAAACCCAGAAGTGTGTGTTCCTGCTTGTGAATGTTTTTGGGAAGATGAATGTCTGATGCAGCTTCTGACTGAGTGCAGGAAGCTCCTGCAATCAATCGGTAGCTGCGCCTTGGTTTTCGAATGGTTTCGGGAGTCAAATGGACTTCCAGAACAGATTAAGTTCGAGAACCAAGGTACCACTGTATGTATTGATTTGTAAACTTTTGAAATTCAGAAATATATATATATATTAAAGAGCTCTGCATGCCGGTAACGCATAATTCTGTCCTTTCCCAAGTTGGTATTTCTGGACGTTAAAAGAACATCTCCATCAATACAAACTGCTCAAACCTTGTAATGCTTTGGTAGCCAATATTGTGCATATTACAGCCTAATTAATTTCACTGAGAAAACAGAAAAGCGCACAGACCATTTAGCCTGGAAAGCTACACTGTCACCTGCAGCTTCAGCAATGTTCCAACGGACAGTTTGTGTATTTGCAGTGCAAGGCTGCATTCTCTCACTCTGTCCCACAAAGTTGAAGTCCATGATGCAAATCCTGTTCTGGAATCCCACCACTTTTTCTCCTTCTTCCTTTCATCAGCTGGCCAAGGAAGTCCTAAACATTGTGGATTGTACGAACAGCTGGCATAAGGACCACTCAGATTGCTCCTCCCATAATACCAGCACAAGTCCTCTTTTCCATAAAGACCAAAAAAAAAAAAGTATCTGAGCTCCACAGTACCTCTCTTCTCTTGGTTGAGACAATAAGCTCTAGAAAAGGCTGGTCTTCGTTCCAGGAGTCTATTTCCGTTAAGTCGTAGAAAATGTTGTTAATGGGCCCAAAGGACCACATCACATGCTTCCGCTTCTGCATAAGGTGCTGGAACATCTGAAGAAAGACAGCAAGGGTTACAGAAAATCCAAGACTTGGTGCTGGACTGTTTGGGTTGGAAGGCAGAGCTTATTGTTGTCATTTGGGTGAAAATTCATTGACCCCAAAACCTACTTAATTATTTTTTAAAAAAATAATAATATTTATTAGTAGTTTCAGAATTATAGAAAATAATAATAAAAAAAATAAAAAACAACACAATAATACATAAAAAAGAGAAAAAAGAAAACGCAAAAACCAGTACAACAGTACAGCAAAAAGATAAAAAGAAAAAAGGAAAACAGGAAAAAAACCACAAATCCCAAATTACTTATCTATAACTTCCATTTGCTTGTTTCATTGACCTCCTCACGCCTCCCTTCTTGCATTCCAGTTCAACTAGTTATTTCAGCAAATTCCTTCCATCTTTCTCAATTTTTGTTGCAAAATTTATCTTAACAATTTAACCTAATAATTAGCTCAACAAATCCTTTCCATCTTTCCCCATATTCTGTTATTCAAATTACCTTAGTTTATTTAACCTTATCTTACCCTAAAATACCTTAAAGCTTAAATCTTAGTTTTCAAATATACATAACTCCTGATATCATTTCTGCTAGAGTCATATAGTTTCATTCCAACATTTTCCTTAATATTCATTAATTTTAAGCTAATTCCCCAAATAGAAAGTTTTTATTTATAATTTTTTCCAATCTTCATCCAACGTCTCTTCTTCCTGGTCTCGGATCGTGTCAGTCCTTACTGTCTATTCCATCTAGTCCATCAACCTGGAAGCCTTATGTCCGAGGCCCTTAAGTCTCTTCCATGTCCCTTCTGCAGTTCTTCTTCTTCTTGTTTATACTTGCCCTTTTCCTTGTCTTTTGTTGGTCTCTTTCTTAATTTCTTTCCTTTCTCATTGAGGAGTAGGTCTCTGGGGAATTCCAACCCAAAATTATCTCCATCTCTCTTCATCAAACCCGCCCATACCCCACAGACCCACTCCCCACAGTCATCACTATAGTCCAAAAAGTATTTAAAAGTATATTTCCAGGTCTCTCCAAAGTTAGGAACCTCCTCAGCTCCAAACTCCCCCTGGCCCACTCCAACTTCTATCTTCAATGACAGCAGCTTATGCTCCTGTAGGGCCTCGGGTCTCTCCATTTGTATTATTTGAAGTGCAACCGCATCCTCCTCCATTATCTTCTGCACTTGCCCAGACAGTACAGGTTCATGAGTTGGTTCCTGAATGATTTCTGTATCAATGTTCCCTGTTTGTCCACAATTATTAACCACAACAGTCATCAAATCCATTTTCTCATTCATCAAATCCATCTTCTCGTGCATCTGTTCCAGCAAGGCACTTGTCTTGCATAGAGCAAGCACCCAATCTTCCTCCCAGCTCATCTTTAGTCAAGGTCAGAAGAGACTGGTCCCACGATCTTAATCTCACAGCTGTTGAGTCCTCAAGTATACTGCAGCAACAATTTAACAAGCTCCCTCTAGAGGAGACAATTTCTATTTGTTTCCTTTTTTTTTAAAGGCAAGTTCAACAAAGGAAAATTACTTTCATTTTTCAGATATTTTTCAGATATTTTGTTTCTTTAGAATGCAAAAGGCAACATTGGAATCAGTTTGTTTCTCTTCTTTAGCTATCTGTCAAAGTGTTCCATTCACAGTCGATGAACCTCTCCAACAATTTCTGTCTCTGACACCCCGTTCCCAGGTTAGAGACGGTGGAAACTTATCCTTCTTCACTCCCTCTCCTGCTAGGGTTGAACAAAGTCCCCCCCCCTTTTCTCCTGCTTCCAAGGGGGTTTCAGTAATTCTGAATGAAGGAAATTTAGACTTTTTAAACAGCTTTCCAGGCTTTAGCTTACAAAGTTTTTGCTTTAGTCTATATACAAAAAGCGGAAGGCGGACTTCCTGTTTTGAACCTTCCCGCTTCGATGCCAAATTGAGATATTTCTTAATCCAATTTTCCGTTTCTACTCACGGGTACTTGTTTTAAATCCAATTGTCCACAGGAAAAAGTCAGCGCTCTCCGGCAATGGCTATGCGGCTTCACTCCGTGAAAATAGCAGTCAGTTCGCAGCACCGCGCCACTCACCCCACTTTGCTCCGGCGCCCCAAAATGGGGTTCCCGGTGAGTAGGGGGGGCGCTCCTGGTGCCCTGCCGAACCCCACGTTCCCAGGCTTCCTCCGCCTGGGATTTCTAGCGGGTCCCCACCTTCGCCGCGGTGGGAAGACCCAGTTTCCACGGAGCCCGTTCCTCCGGTCGGAGGAACTCCGCCATTCACCGATGGCGCTGACCCGGAAGTCCCTGAAGCCAAAACCTACTTAATTTGCACTTCCTGAAATATTTGAACTGATGAAACACAGCTACCTTTGAAATTTTTGTACTTGTTCACCTAATTGGGCATGAGCAAACCTGTAGGCCAAGCCTCGTGCATAATTAATCTATTGTACACATTTCAGAATAGTTGTTTCGGCAATGATCTTGTTTACCAATCCAGTTTTGCAAACTGGAGTGAGGTAGGAATGGCGATCTGCAAATCACTAGAATTTATTGGTTGTGCAAATAATTTTTCTACATGTGCCCACAAGTTTGAAATTCCATTGCTTTAAAAGAACTTTTTTCCCCCTTCAAGGTGTCTCCTACATTGATTAGTTGGACTGTGTGCTCACCACAGTGTTGCCCTCGACTCCAGCCAGTTTGAATGGAGTGAGGCCTTCGTGGTTTTGGATCAAGTCGAAAGGTCCCAGGCCAGCCTCTCGTTTGTCGTAGGCAAGCAGCAGACTGTACATCTGGCAGGCAAAGGTTCTGTTGGGTTGAAGTACTAGGACATGAAGAACAGTGTTACCTGAAATGGAAACAGCATAAGAGAACCATATTCAGGGAACCGAAGTTATAAAACACAGCAGTTGAGTGGCAATGATTACTGCGCGAATATCAGATTATTTGGTAAAGCTCTGCTCAGATGTGATCAGTATATTTAAACCAATGGAAGTATTTGATTAAATCAATGTTAAACTGATGAGGACAATTTTAAAGATTGTGGCTGAGCACCACCTGGCATTTTTTTGAGGCTATTTCAGCTGTGGTATGTCCCAGGCAATGAAAAATAACGCATTAAAAATGTCCTTTTTAAGAAAGAATAGAAACTAGAATTAAAATTGTAAAGAAAAACCCACTTCATAAACAAGATAAATTGCACCTGTATCATCCTTTGTCTAATAATGGGCTATTGGTCATTTGTCCCACACGTGTAATTGGTTCATTGATCGGGCAAATATACACATATAAAATTACCACCCCCTCAGTATATGAACACTTTTGTGATATGCTGCTTTATTTTATTTATTTAATTACATTTCTATTCTGCCCTTCATCCAAGACTCACAGGGCGGTTTACAATATTAAAACACAAAAATACAGAACATAGTAACAAACGAAAACAATACCCCCACACACAGTTTAAAAGGTCATAGATTGTTTAATCAGCTTAAGGCTAATTAGTATTGAGGGGCTGGTATGTAAATATAATTGCCTGATCCATGAATCAGTTAAAAGCATGCAATCATTATAGCAATGCATGTCTTAATCTAATAACAACCCTCTTTCTTAGACAAGGAATGGTGCAGGTGTGATTTGTCCGGCTTATGGGTACGTTTGCAGCAAGATGATATTTAATTAGATGTCTTCCACCTCAAATTTTAACTCAACGGCTTCTACCATGATCAACCCAGAAAAAAATATTTGCCCCATTTTACTACAAAGAAGAAATTAATTTTCCTGACTGCAGGCCTCTTACCTAGAGAATCTTGTGCCCTTATATCGGCTCCATTTTCCACCAAGAAGCTCACAATTTCCTCATTTCCTGTGCAGGCAGCAAAGGATAAAATATGCTCCCCTGAAGAGGAATACAAGGGACAAAACAGGATTAAAACAAGACCCAAGGATTTGGAGGGGGAGGGGATATTTCTCTGAAGTTTAGTAATTAAGGCTACAACATTTGGCTGGCTCATTGGTTGAACCAGCGTCTGACAACCTGGTGGCCTCCAGATGTTTTGACTACAGTTCCCATCATCCTCAGGAGCACCTGATGGCTGGGGATGATGGGAGTTGTGGTCCAAAACATCTGGAAGGCACCAAGTTGGCAAAGTCTGGTTAGACTAATTTTTTCATTCATTAATAAGGTGCCCCCTGATTAATCACAAAGAAGATACAGGTGGTTACAAAAGCTGTAGGTGATGGCTGCCTTCTTAGAAGAGATATTCCTCCTTTTTCATGCAGAGAATGCCTCTTCTAAGATTGTGCCTGCTGTGGGACATTTATGCATCTGTAATGGTTCTATCTAGCAGCATGAAGGGGGTAAATCCGTATCTCAACAAAGCAGATCACTGGAGGTGTGGGTCGGGGAGGTATCAGGCTGAGATTTAAATTGTCATGCCATTTGTAATTGGGGTTGGAAGAGAATTTTGTCTAGAACAAGGTGGTTTTTATGTCTGGGACAGTGTTGTCTTTCTTTCTTTCTTTCTTTCTTTCTTTCTTTCTTTCTTTCTTTCTTATTCAATGCAGCTGGTGTCAAGGGTGTTTTGTCTTATCACTTGGTGACTTGTCTGTATGAATTGGGCATTATTACAGCCATAGATGTCGCACTCAACATTACTAGGAAATATATTAAAGGTAAAGGTAAAGGGACCCCTGACCATTAGGTCCAGTCGTGACCGACTCTGGGGTTGCGGCGCTCATCTTGCTTTATTGGCCAAGGGAGCCAGCGTACAGCTTCCGGTCATGTGGCCAGCATGACTAAGCCGCTTCTGGTGAACCAGAGCAGCGCATGGAAACACCGTTTACCTTCCTGCTGGAGCAGTACCTATTTATCTACTTGCACTTTGACATGCTTTCGAACTGCTAGGTTGGCACGAGCAGGGACCGAGCAACGGGAGCTCACCCCGTTGCAGGGATGTGAACTGCTGACCTTCTGATCAGCAAGTCCTAGGTTCTATGGTTTAACCCACAGTGCCACCTGCATCCCATAGGAAATATATTGCTTGTTGCTAAATGGCAATTCTAGATGTGAAGGGCAGAGCCGCTGTCTGAACTTGCTTGGGGTGCTGGTTTTGAACAGAGGCACCAAATTGTCCCCCACATTACAGAAGCCCGACTGATCTCCACTAGGAGTTGGACATTCAGTGCTGCTGGTCTGAATGTGGAACACTCTTCCAGGAACACTCTTCCAGGACAGATTCAGTGGCCATCCTTGTTTTACTAGCAAACCAGAGGTTTCCGGCCCTGGGAGGAGCGTGGGGAGTGTTCGCGCAACACATGAACGTGTCAAGACACGGAATTTGGAAAGCTCTGCTAAACCTTGTGGGGCCCAACATTTCTACCAGCTACCAGAAGCAATCCCGTTCTCTGGAGCGGCCGATGCAAATCATACCAAAGTAGAAGAGGCTTTTGGGGTTGCGCCTGAAGAAGAGTCCCGTAGCTCGAGGAGTGGAGATGTGAGCCCCTTTCTTGACCAGACATTTCACGAGGTTTATATTCTGATTGATCGCTGCAATGTGGAGAGGTGTTTGTCCTGCAATTCACATTAAACAAACAAAGCAAACCTTCCATTAAAGACTCGCACCAAGACATTCTCTGTACCGATCCTTTGGGAGTGTTACTCTGCCAAATGCTAGCAGACTTGAGAGCAACATTTTGTTTTTCGGAGCCGTTAAAAAACAACATGGGTAAGTTTCACCTAACCAGCCCCATCAACAGACGCCTACTAAAGGAATTGCATTTGTGCAAGGGGGCTTCCCCCCCTCCTGAATCCCCCAAATTTGCTTGAGGAGTTAAGAGAACCCCTTGGATCAACACATGGGGTGGAGCAGAGAGGGAGATCCTTCCATCTGGTGAGCTGTAATGCTTTCACAAACAGAACAATTGGAAGTGCACAGCACTGAATTCCACCCCATGCTTCAGAGGATTTATTTAATGAGAAAAATAATGACCCACATCTTTTGAATCCTGTATTTGGGATTTCCATCTCTCTCTAAAACCATTTCCGCTGCACTTCTTCTGCACTACCCTTTATCAGCTATTGCAAAAGCAAAAGGACAAACTTCCACTCATTGTCATACATGCATTTTATCTGTTATTATCCGTTTCGCATTATGATACGAGTTTGCAAATATTATAACTGCTCATCTTTTTCTATGCGAATTGCAATCTGCATTTTGACAGCAATTACCTTCATAGAGTTCTGACGTCATCTTTTCATTAATCAGTTCTGGAGCCAGCTCCAGGAGCACCTTTGCAGCTTCCGTGTTATCGTAGAGAGCAGCTATGTGCAGGGCTGTCTCTCCCACCGCTCCTGCATAGGACGAGGGAAACACAAAGGTCACCTAAGACTGAACTGCACTTGGAGCCGAGCTAGACATCTATGCATCCAGGTGCCTGACTTGTTCACATTTAAGCCCCTGGGTGGATGAAAAGTTCTATTTTTATAGTGAAAAGGGGACATGTTGAGAGAGTGAGTGAGCAAAGTTACATGCTCCCCTCCTCAATTTCCATTGTTTCAGACACTTTTCTCCCAACTCAAACTCTGGTAGAGGTGTGAAGAAAGAAGAGTGTCTGTAAGTCTGGGATAGTCAATGTGGTGTTCATCAAGATGTTGTTGGACTACAACTTCCATCATCCTTGCCCTTTTGGACTACAACTTCCATCATCCATGACCTTTGGCCATGCTTTCTGGAGCTGTAATCCAGTATCATTTGGAGGGCACCACATTGGCTACGTCTCGTTTGTGACAGGCAGGGGACAAGGGACGGTTCAGTTCCCCCCCGCACATATGTCCCCTTTTGTTGTGAGAATTAGACTCTCTGACCCTCACTTTGTGAACGTGGTGGCCATGTGACCAAAAAAGGGGAGGCTGCTTCCCCTATCCCTCTAGTATGGCTTGTAACTATAAATAAAGATAAGGAATGTACCCAAGTGATATGGGGTATTTGAGAAGCCTTAGGACACCAGCCTAGATAGTACAAACTAGGCTGCAGTACCAATTCCATTGGGCAGAACCAAAGCTAAAACATTGCAGGTGCTTGGACTAGATGACCCTCATGGTCCCTTCCAACTCTAAAATTATTTGATTCTATGATAGGTCAAGGCAATTTAGTTTAATGTGGCTCTTCAGTGGACCATGCGCTGCTCTCATTGGTAGGGGTCTAGGATAAGCAAAGGTAAAGATAAAGGGACCCCTGACCATTAGGTCCAGTCGTGACCGACTCTGGGGTTGTGGCGCTCATCTCACTTTATTGGCCAAGGGAGCCGGCATACAGCTTCCGGGTCATGTGGCCAGCATGACTAAGCCACTTCTGGCAAACAGAGCAGTGCACAAAAACGCCGTTTACCTTCCCGCCGGAGCGGTACCTATTTATCTACTTGCACTTTAATGTGCTTTCGAACTGCTAGGTAGGTTGGCAGGAGCAGGGACCGAGCAACAGGAGCTCACCCCGTCGCGGGGATTCGAACCGCCGACCTTCTGATCGGCAAGCCCCAGCCTCTGTGGTTTAACCCACAGCGCCACCCACATCCCCTAGGATAAGTACCTCTTTGCAAAACGTCACAGGAACCATCCGAGATCAATTTCCTGATAAGCTGGACATTGTTCTCCTTGGCAGCCAGGAGGAGTGGAGTCTCCCAGATCCTGCAGGTGAGAGAGAAAGAAAGAAGAAAAAAAACTATTCACATTTTGCTCCAGTGAGAAATTAGCTCTTGAAGTTCAAGACTCCTTATGGGGGCTGACAGCATATGCTCTCTCCACAAGGATGGAAGGAAAGGGTGTGAATGGGAAGGAATAATAATAATAATAATAGGTATGATCCTGTGGTGTTTGCAGAAATCCAGAATCTGACAAAGGAGAAGAGCAAAAAACAACAATCCATATGGCAAATGAAGAGTCTTATCAGCTTCTGCAGTATTTATCCTAGGCCACACAGGGGCAGTACAGAGGCAGAAGAAAGATGCAGATTCAACAGGGTTTTATGGCTGCAATTAGTCTTTTGCCACAAACTCAGCACTCTAGAAACTAGTAAAAGTATTATGGGGTTGGCTTTCATTGGCCTAGTTTGTCAAAATAAGGAAAACCTCAAATGCACCTAACCGGGGTTGTTATGCTCCAAGAGTCATTTTTTTTCAGCAGTTGTGTGGTCAGTCATTGTGATATGCATTACAATTTAGTAGCTGCTTTATATAAGCAGCAATAGGGTGACCTTTACCCTGATGGAATTATAACTACTCTGCTATTGAACATACTTCCCCAGGCTTTCTTTTTCTGATTCCAAATGCAAGGAACAAAAGTCTTCATGAGTTTATGCAACTTGGGAGGAATTCCACCAGCCAGCCATCCTCATGCCATACAGTTCCACAAGAAGCAAATGCACGTATATCAGGCAACTGGCTCTAACTGGCTTTAAAATCTCAGCAGAAGAGGGTCAAGGACTGTCAACAAGATCAAGACCTTTAAACCCGTGGAATGGCTATGGAGGGGGTTGGAGGAAGATCAGAGAAACCCCTGCCTCACCCCACTACAAGAGAGAGGGATCCACCTTCCTGTAACAAGAACTACAAACCTTTTATTTATGCAGTGTTAAAGGTTTACATACAAACAACAGGGGGGAAGTGAGCAAACATAATCAGCGTCCATTCCTAGGGGTTCCAACACCCTGAGGATACAGTGGTACCTCGGTTTTTGAACAGCTTAGTTCACGAACAACTTGGAACCCGAATGCTGCAAAACCAGAAATAGGTGTTCCGGTTTTCTAACTTTTTTCGGAAGCCAAACGTGCTCCGTTTTGAGCCCCCCTGTGTTTCCTGTTGCACTGCTAATTTGCACCCCCCCATTGTAATTCAAGCCTTCTGTTTCCAATTGCAATGTTCTAAGGTGATATTTTAGAGCTTATATTTGGTGCTTTTGTTTTTGCTATTTATTTTGCGTTTTTTGTTCTGAGGCTTTTTCAGTTAATTTGTTTTTGTGACTGTGCGGATCCCAGTTCAGCTACTGACTGACTGATTATGTGACTGCGGAAATCGATACCCCACCCAAACAATGACTATCATCAGTACAGGTAAGAAAAAATAATAATTTTAATTTTTATCATCTACAATGCTGTTTTATTTATTTTATAGTACAGTACATTGATTATTGCTTTTATTTTATGGATCGATAGTCTCGTTAGATAGTAAAATTCATGTTAAATTGCTGTTTTAGGGGTGTTTTTAAAAGTCTGGAATGGATTAATCCGTTTTGCATTACTTTCTATGGGAAAGCACACCTTGGTTTTGGAACACTTTGGTTTTGGAACAGACTTCTGGAACGGATTAAGTTTCAGAACCAAGGTACCACTGTATTTGTTGTTTAGTCGTTTAGTTGTGTCCGACTCTTCGTGACCCCATGGACCAGAGCACGCCAGGCACTTCTGTCCTCCACTGCCTCCCTCAGTTTGGCCAAACTCATGCTGGTAGCTTCAAGAACACCATCCAACCATCTCATTCTCTGTCGTCCCCTTCTCCTTGTGCCCTCCATCTTTCCCAACATCAGGGTCTTTTCCAGGGAGTCTTCTCTTCTCATGAGGTGGCCAAAGTATTGGAGCCTCAGCTTCACGATCTGTCCTTCCAGTGAGCACTCAGGGCTGATTTCCTTAAGAATGGATACGTTTGATCTTCTTGCAGTCCATGGGACTCTCAAGAGTCTCCTCCAGCACCATAATTCAAAAGCATCAATTCTTCGGCGATGTATTAGAGAAGCCCTGAAAGTTAATAGTTTATGGCCATTCTGCTTTCTGTATAATAAATAAATGAAGCATACACATACCAAAATCATGGGTGTTATGGCCTCTTGTGGTGCTGTGGTCTAAACCACTGAGCCTCTTGGGCTTGCCGATCAGAAGTACGGTGGTTCAAATCCCTGTGACGGGGTGAGCTCCCATTGCTCGGTCCCTGCTCCTGCCAACCTAGCAGTTTGAAAGCATGCCAAAAAGTGCAAGTGGATAAATAGGTACCGGTCCGGCAGGAAGGTAAACGGCGTTTTCGTGTGCTGCTCTGGTTTAGCCAGAAGCAGCTTAGTCCTGCTGGCCACATGACCCGGAAAAACTGTCTGTGGACAAACACCAGCTCCCTCGGCCTGTAAAGCCAGATGAGCGCCGCAACCCCAGAGTCGTCCACGACTGGACTTAGCTGTCAGGGGTCCTTTACCTTTACCTTTAATGACTAGACAGAGCTGGTCTGGTCTCCCTCAGACCTTTCCCCAAATGTATTATGGTGATGAACAAAGCACTTCCCTTTAAATGCAAGCCGTTTCCAAGTAATAACATTTATCATCTTAAACAGCACTTTCAGATGGAGTGTTTTGCGTACATTATCTCACAGTGACCTTTAAGGCAACCCTGTGGCATTATAGTATTATTATCACCCTCATATTACATGAGTGGTTTGACTAAGACCATTTAATGATCTCATGAGGGCAAGGGGAGGATGTAGCCCCCTAACTTCCTCTCAGTCTCTTAGCCACTAGAGCAGCTGAAATCCCTTTGTAGCACTGAGCAAGTCATTGCTTGCAATCCTATGCACACAACTTGGGAATAAGCCTATTTTTTTTTGTAACATAGCGGGAATTTCATAACTCGCCATTCTGAGCCATGGACACCATTTCAATAAACTCTTGTTCCTTAGATTTGCCTTGACCGTTAATTAAATGCTCTCTGTGATTTAAATGACGGCCAAGTAAATGCTTATATACATAGTTGGTGTGATAGGAAGTAGTCCCAAAATTTCCCCCACAGAAAATTGCTGAGGGTCTTAAAAAGGTAAAGGGACCCCTGACCATTAGGTCCAGTCGTGACCGACTCTGGGGTTGCTGCACTCATCTCACTTTATTGGCCGAGGGAGCCGGCATACAGCTTCCGGGCCATGTGGCCAGCAGGACTAAGCTGCTTCTGGTGAACCAGAGCAGCGCACAGAAATGCCGTTTACCTTCCCACCAGAGTGGTACCTATTTATCTACTTGCACTTTGACGTACTTTCGAACCTCTAGGTTGGCAGGAGCAGGGACCAAGCAACGGGAGCTCACCCCATCGCGGGGATTCGAACCGCCAACCTTCTGATCGGCAAGTCCTAGGCTCTGTGGTTTAACCCACAGCGCCACCTGCATCCCTTAAGGGTCTTAGTGGGCCACTTCATGATTTTTCTGCCTGTTGTAATAATTGAAATGCACCGTGCTAGATGCTGCATGATTTTTAATGGTTGTTGGGTTTGTTTGTTTTTACAGACATGCCAAAGACCACCTGAATGAAGCTCTCAGATCACTGGTGGTCTGTGGACCACTGTTTGGGAAAGTCTGTTGAAGGTGATGCATGAGTACTTGTGGATAGCTCACTTGGTTAGACCATGGTGCTGATAACACCAAGGTCTCAGGTTTGATTCCATTATAGGACAGCTGCATATTCCTGCATTGCAGGGGGTTAGACTAGGTGAGCCTCAGGGTCCCTTCCAACTCTACAATTCTATGACCATCTATTTTTCTTCCAGTCAACAAAACGATCGCGGCAAAGAAAGGCACAAAAGTACAATTCTTTTACAAGGCAAGAGAAAAGAAAAAGAAAATAGTAAGTGATCCTCGTTTTCACTTTCCCAAAAAGTCTTTGAAGGGTTTGTTGCAACAGAATGCTACAACCGTTGCTACAACAGTTTCTGCATCAGTATAGATAATAAATCCAAGAAAACAACATAACTAGTGTTTGCTTTCCATCAATAGCATTGTAAAGGACAGTGACTGGGTTTGGATACAGGAAATTCACAGTAAAAAAGAAATCTAGGAAAATCTTATCAGCTTCGGCGTTATATGGCTTTAGAAAAGGTAAATTCCAAGTTTCGTGTTATGCTGAATGTTGCAATGCAATTCATGGTTATTCAAACTTAGCAAAATATGCATTTAAATAGAATATTCAAGGGAGGGGCATTTAAATATTATTTTGAGGGAAAATATACATTCCTAGTATGTATTAAAATACATACCTCAGAGTACTTACAACAAAAATATTTTTTACATGTAAATTATGTTACATGAAACAAAGATAGAATCAACTACACCACCCCCATCTGGAGATAAACAAGAGGGTTTTTTTACCCAGAAGCCCCCCACATTGGCAATGTAACAGATGTGTGCATATCACAGAACAGAGAATTTGCTCATATTTGTTAATAACCTTATCCTGTGAATATACTGTATGTCCAGAATATTTGCATCATCATTGTCTAAAGGACTGCATTTGTTCATTGTTCGTTATTTCTACCCATCAATGCATTAAAATCCACACACCAACAAAACCTCTGATCTGGTTCTAAATTTATGCAAATCTGTTCCAACTTTATGATTTATTAATTTAGGAGTATAAACATTTAAACAGATAATTGGTCTAACCTCCAGGAGTATTTACTATTGTAGCTCGAATATTGTGTATTTAGGTATTTCATTCTTTGTTGAATAAATAGACTGATAGCCCACTGGGCAGGGCTTGTATCATAACTTGTGTCGTGCCACACCTTGTTTTGGGGGTACATCACTAATAATAAGCATTATTATTATTTTAAATCTTGAGGAAATCACAGGGATTACTTGGATTAGTGGAAAGTAGACAAGACACAACCCTGAAGGATCATAGTTCATAACAAATACCTTTTTTATTATTATTTTTAAGCAACTACTTGATAGGGGTACGGTGAGGGAATTGTGTCTCAGTTAAAATAACCAGGACCCCAAGTCAACAGTGGAGTTAGAAGCTCTGCAGTTCATAACAGAACCAACACAGTAACTATTGGGATGTTCCATCTTAAAGTTTCCACATATACTGAGGGAAGACTTGCTCTGCATATTCAAAAGCATCAGCTGGCTCCTTGTTGAGTTTCCTGGCACCTGACCAGACAAACTCTTTGGCACCATCATATAAATAACTGTAAACCAGGATTTTATTATACAACGTAGCACTCTTCCTGGAGTAATTAAAATCACTTGTCTGCAAATGCCAATAGCCAAGTGAAACAAATCAGAAAAGCAAAAAACAAACTTTCGACATCATAGGCAAGCAGTGCAGTTATGGCTCTCTAAGCCGCACCTACAACCTGACAGTGGGGTAGCAGATGTGTTGTTAACATGAAGCCCACACCAGTTTCTTCCACCAAGAAAGCAAAATAAATAAATAAATTGCACTTTGCCAGTACAGAAAAAGGAACGTCTAAGTTCCCCAAGTCTTGGAAGGCAGAGCCTGGTGATGCTCTGTGGTTTCTTTGTTCATTTATTTACTTTAAGAGAGTTTTCAAGCATCTCCCTTCTGTTCAGGAATAGGGTATCTGCATCCTCCTACATCATCCGGTGTGTTTCTGTGCCCCTATAAATGGCAGCTCATGTTGGGAAGCAGGAGAATCGGCAACAAAGTTAAGTGTTGCTACTACACATTTCAGAAGACAACTCAATGCGGAGATGCCATCTTCAGCGGCAGCCCTGTGTCTCGATATGTAGTTGTCCAAATAACACGTAGTTCGAAACCAGGTTATCTCCTAGAGCTATTTGCAAAATGCTACATGAAGCGGTTCCGGCTTCAGGTTTATTCTGGACAAGTAAACCAGTAGGCAAGCCTCAGAGCAGACCCTTCTGCTTCAGTCTGGAATGAAAAACCTAACTGGAGCAACGTGATTCTGGTTGGAGAGTGTCCCTGGGAAAGAGGAGAGGAATTTTTGCCAGTCAGCAAGGTGCTGGCCATCAAACAGGAACCCTTGTCAGTTTCTGTAATTAGTAACTCATCAATACAATGGCATTTATTTATTTATTTCAGGTTTTATGGCGATGCTAATAATCATTGACCTATTTATTCACTTTCACGGTGCTTTTGAAATGCCTGCAGGATAAGCAGTCTTTGGGGACATTTGAGAAACCAGGGTTGTCCCTAAACTGCAAGTTTTGGCTGTTTAGATCTCCCGTAAGGCCTGCTTTCCCATAAGGAAACCTGTGAGCCGAAGATAACATGACACACAGAACTAGCGATGATTCATTTGTGGGCTGAAACTCTGCGATCGTTGGGTCTTCCTTAAAAGATGACATTCCATAGATGGGCTCCTGCCATGGAACCCAAGCAGTGGGCTTGGGTTTTGTCTCTCCCAGATAAACCATGAGAGGTAAGCCTAGATCAGGCATCCGCAACCTTTGGACTTCCAGATGTTTTGGACTACAATTCCCATCATCCCTGACCACTGGTCCTGTTAGATAGGTATCATGGGAGTTGTAGGCCAAAACATCTAGAGGGCTGCAGGATGCGGATGCCTGGCCTAGATTAAACCTTGGCTGAAGCTTGTCATTTGCCTGGAGTGGGATAAACCACAAGCCTGGGTTCAGATATATGCTTGACTTTTTATTTTCTCAGACATGGTGAGCTGGGCCTGTGTTTGTGAGTCTGTACTGTGGAAATGCATGGTGGTTGCCAGAATACGGCTAATTTCTCCCTCATTCTAAAATTAACTGCCTTTCGCCAGCACTGTTCTTCCAGACTCAGTGGATTGGTTTACGGGACACACTAAGCCAAACCTTGGTTTAGCTGGGAGCAGCATAGCAGTGAAAAGGTTTGGAGAGGAGCAAAGTGGTTGCAAGCTCCTCTCCACATGTCCGCACTCTCACGCAAGTCATGTGAACCAGGCACATGCCTTTCACATGGGAGAGAGTAACTGGGAGGAACAATAAATACATCTTGAAAACTGAAGGTGGAAGAGGTCAGTCTTGGCCCTGGAGATCACTTAGAACAGGAACTGATGAACCTGTGGCTCTCCAGAACTTGTTGGGATTCCCAAGCTCCCACTGGCTGTACTGGTTGGTGCTGATGGGAGTCAGGAACCCAGGCTTGAAGTTTCACTCATCTAGGTAAGCCATCAGTTGCAAACCACAGAACCAGACCCTTGGTTACAGCTTGCTTTGTCAGAAGAGAGAGTTAAGCCGTGAGCCCAGGTCTGGATGACAAACTAAGCCAAACAACAGCTTAGCACAGCACAGCAACAAGACCATCAGGGAGGAACAAAGCAGCCATGGTCTCCTCTCTGGGTATCCCACACATTTGCATGCTAAGTAGGGGTTTGGGCTAGTGTTACGTGTGAACCGAACCAGCTAATTCATGATTGCAGTATTTTCAAGTCCATAGCTCTTGTCCACTGAGCAATGTTAATTTACCTTCCCCTGCTTTCACAGACAAAAGGCTACCACAAAATAAACACCTACCGTGCATTACCAAGAGCAGTCACCAGTTTTTATCCACTTCTAATTAACAATGGGAGATAAACTGTATTCATCGGCTTACAGATGAAAGGTTCTCCCTATCCCTTTGTAAATCACCAGGATGACCCTGCTCTAAAGCATAAAACAGTTGGTTTTGTGCTTACAAAAATCACAGGGATCTTTATTTTAATTGCTTTGTAAACTCTTCAAATGGAAAAAAAAATAGATATGGGTGAGACTAAAGAGAACCAACCACACCCCAAATCCTTGTAAACTAACACAAATACGTGGCATTGCCAAGATAGGCAACTGAGAATAAGACTTTGAGGAGCGCAATGATTTTTTTATTGCTACATGTATGGAATTGACTGCTCTTGGCTTTGTGTTGGGGAGCTTATTCCGAACTCCCAGCCACGCAACCCACATTCCAGCACATACTATATAAATTTAATTTAATAGTTTCATGTCTTTAGTCTGGTCAACACATGCAGCAGAATGGGGTGAAAGAATTCTGGGGTGATAGGATGGGCCTTATCACTTGAGCCTACAAGTGGAGGAATGACATTTTTTTAAACCTCCCCTGTTTTTCAAATTTCCTGGAAATAAAAAACCAGCACAAACAGGCAAGATCTCGGCTAGTATCTCTCACTCTGCTGCTAGACTGCTGTTTGCAGGGAGGTAGGGTTTTTTTGGGGGGGGAGGGGTGTATTCAAAATTGGTATCCCCCCACATACAATATAAATGGATACAGACCATTCTACTAACTTATCATCCTGCCATTTAATTATACAGTGGGCGCTGCTCTGGTTTAACCAGAAGCGGCTTAGTCACACTGGCCACATGACCCGGGAAAACTGTCTGCGGACAAACGTTGGCTCCCTCGGTTAGTAAAGCACAATGAGCACCACAACCCCAGAGTCGTTCGCGACTGGACTTAACTGTCAGGGGTCCTTTACCTTTACCTCTACTTACGTGCACCTCTGGTTACGGATCCTTTGGGATACGCACGCAGCAAACCCAGAAGTATTTTTCCGGGATTTACCGTGCGCATGCACAGAAGCTCTCTACTGCACTGCGTGCATGCGCAGAACAGGCACATCCGGTTGTGAAAACCCCAGGATCCAACCGGAGCTCCGGAACAGATCCCGTCCGCAACCGGAGGTACCACTGTATTAGACTTATGTCACACTGTTTTAAACATCCACAGACTTCTATTACAAACAATTTGCTCTATAAGACTCACTTTTTCCCTCCTAAAAAGTAAGGGGAAATGTGTGTGCGTCTTATGGAGCAAATGCAGGCTGCGCAGCTATCCCAGAAGCCACAACAGCAAGAGGGATCGCTGCGCAGCAATCCCTCTTGCTGTTCTGGCTTCTGGGATAGCCACACGAAGTCTCTTCAGGGCAGCAGGAGGAACGCTCCCCCTGCCCTGAAGAGGCTTCCCGCAGCTATCCCAGAAGCCAGAACAGCAAGAGGGATCGCTGCACAGAATATATTTTTTCTTGTTTTCCTCCTCCAAAAACTAGGTGCATCTTAAAGTCTGGTGCATCTTATAAAGTGAAAAATACGGTATATCCTGCATAGAAACAGCAGCCGTAAATAATGATCAGGAATAAGTCTCCTTGAATGGAGTGAGACTTACTTCTGAGCTGACATGGTTGGAATCAAGCTGCAAACTGAAGAGGTACAGAATATTATAGGCATCACCACCCTGTAAGCAAAAATAAGTTGCATCGTTGACTCTTCTTCCTTATTAAAGCTCTGTACAGTGATAGCAAATTGCAGGTTAGATGTGGGTTGCAGGACCAACTTTCAGGTTGTATTGAGATGGCTAGGGGAGGATGACAGGGCTGTATTTTTGCGCCCACAGCCTTTTCCTAAATGATTTAGTCTAATGAACCTAGATGGTCATCTCCCAAAAAAGAGGTACCAGAAAGACCCCTCTTTTGCTATATGTAGATGATGCGGCCATCCTCTCTTGTTCCAGACCTGATTTGAAATACCAGCAAATGAAGTTCTCAGATTACTGTTCTGTAAACAGGTTATCCATCAACTATGAGAAATCAAAAAGTTTCATTTTTGAGAAAAGATATTCTCCTTGCAAATGGCCACAATCTAGAGCTGACTAAATGCTTCCAGTACCTAGGGCTGTTGTTTCACCACACAAAGTCCTGGAATTGCCACTGGCAGATTATCTGTCAGAAGGCGGAGATGAGCAAACTTGCTATACTCCATTTATTTTTCACAAAAGGTGGTCTCTATGTTCCATCAGCCATAAGGGCCTTTAAAGCGAAATCTGTTTCCCAACTCCTTTATGCTTCAGACGTCTGGTACAATGGTCTGTTTCCTAAGTTAGATGGGTTCCAGGCTAAGTTCCTTCGGTCCCTACTTCAGGTTCCAAACTGTGTCCCTAATTCAATTCTATTGTTGGAAACAGGTGACTGCCCACTTTCCACCAAAGCGTGGTGGGTTGCCTTGAAATACTGGCTAAAGATCTCAGTATTTGGCCTGGGGAAGGGATTGTTTTTTCATCTAAATGAGGAGTCTATCAGCTCATGGTCAAAAACTATGGCCCACAAAGCCTCCTCAGTTGGTCTTTCACCATCCTTTTTACATCATCTGGGCTACAATATTTCCCTTAAATCCCTGAGGAAGAGGTTATGGGATATTTCATACAGCAATATTCACTCTAGATCTTATGTAACCTGTGGACCATTTGCATCTGGAATCTGCTATAGCCATGATTTTCAGTTACCATTGTATTTCATTTATCTGTCTGTACCTAGGTAAAGGTAAAGGGACCCCTGACCATTAGGTCCAGTCGTGACCAACTCTGAGGTTGCGGTGCTCATCTCGCTTTATTGGCTGAGGGAGCTGGCGTACAGCTTCCGGGTCATGTGGCCAGCATGACTAAGCCGCTTCTGGTGAACCAGAGCAGCGCACGGAAACGCCGCTTACCTTCCTGCCAGAGTGGTACCTATTTATCTACTTGCACTTTGATGTGCTTTCAAACTGCTAGGTTGGCAGGAGCAGGAACCAAGCAACGGGAGCTCACCCCGTCGCGGGGATTCAAACCGCTGACCTTCTGATCTGCAAGTCCTAGGCTCTGTGGTTTAACCCACAGCACCACCCGCGTCCCTGTCTGTACCTAACTACCGCCAATTGTTCACCAAAGCCAGACTAAATGTATTTCCATCAGAAATACTAAACAGCAGACTGTCTGGTATCCCTTATCTGCTTATGCTCTCAGGGTCTTGACTCTATGAAGCATATCCTACTACACTGTGAGCAGTTCAAACAAGCCAGGGATCAATTAATTAAACCCCTATTGGTAAACTTAACTGGAAAATCCGAAATCTTCTACCTTAAGTACCTCCTTGGAGATATGTCAAATTATACTACCCTGGCAGTGGCTAAATTCCTCTCAAAAGTAATAAGAAATAGAAACCTACATGCTCTGGATAAAACATAGTGACTGCCTTGGAATCCTTTCCCTGTATTTCTGTTTTATTATGCTTTTGAAAATGTTTTTGTGGTTCTTTGGACCGAAATAAAGACTGTATGTATGTACTTACATCATAGGTTTCAATACTACAGCTCAAGCACAAAAAATAGAGAGCACAATAACCTCCTTGCTGGTTCAAACTACTTCAGTCCTGTATCCTGTCTCTGGCAGAACACAATTCCAGGCACATCTGGGGAAACAGATACCCAAGATGCTAATAACAATCTCTCCTCCCCTGGCACTCATGTTGATTGGGAATGGTCTTCAGATTTTTCTCTAGAGTGATTCAGATGAAGTAATATTTCTAAGGAGTACATTTCACTTTCTTGCAATATCTCCATTGCTATACCACTCTCGGCTTTTGAGTCAATACAGGCAATATGTGGAGCTATTGGGGGGTGGCATTAAGTTCAGGTTCTAAAATAACTTAGCTGAAATCTTTGTGTTAAGAACATTCACTCATCAAGGCATAAAATAAGCCATCAAGGTGCTTTTAGTGTCACTTGTGAACAGGACCAGACCAAGCCATTTTCATCCCTAAAGAGGAGTTTACTCAAAATGGCACTCCAAGCCTTCAGTAACTCAAGAGAGTGCAATACAGTGGGCAGTACTCCTGCAAAAGCCTCATGGAAATGAGCACAGGCTGTGCAATAGAATAGCCTAGTAATGAGCTAAACCTATTTATCTCCAACTCAACTGCTCTTAATAACACCCAAAACCTGACACAGCCTCTTCAGCTTGCCTCATGATAGGTCTGCCTTTGCCTTTGAAAATGCCCTTAAGAAATGCACTCTTAGCATTGGAAGCAAAAACACTCTCACAGGAAGGCCAAGGCTGTTCACCATTTTCTTACAGGAAATCTCTGGCATCACTGCGAAGTATCAGTTCATATTTTGCACAGTCCTGAACAAAACCAGCAACATCTACATCCCATCCTTCCCCATTAAGCTGATGTCTCTTTGGCCTATTGAAACATGATGATGAAAACCTTTTAGGAAGGTGTGAAAAGCAACCTCAGGCAATCAATTTTCATCAGCATGAGACGGACAGCTATTGAATTAATAATCAAGTCTTCTTTACAAACAAGTTTTCAGGACACCTTGAGGATGTGTGGTCCTTACACTTTGATAAAACAGAATGGTTTATGAGTACCAAAACAGATCAACGAAGATGCTTGAGAGGAAACATCTTGAATAACTGCATACCTACTCGGAACAACACACATATGTTTTGATCAGGTGCATATTGCTGGATTGAGGTGGTTTGCATTTGGATATTCTGTCTCAGGTGCAAACATAGTCTCGGGTCACCCTTGGTTGGGTAAAGAAATTACTGTATGAATGAGACATAACTAATTTGAAGGGGGATGAAAGAGAAGCGGGTTCTGTTAAACGCTCAGCCTCTTTAAAAAAAATAGGCAGGAAAAATAGACATGTTCTAGTTGCCCCTATTGATTAGGGCATTCTCTGATTTTCTGATAGCTGTTCCCAGTAAATTATTGTCTCTATTTTGCCTTTTGGAGTGATTTGAGGGAATGCATTTCCAAAACTTTATCACTCTATATTGAAAGAATTGCCATGCTTCTGTCCTCTCCCGCCAGCTCTTTAGAAGTTAAACCTCCAAAGTAGGCGCAAACACATATTGATGCTAGTACATGAAAATGCAGCTTCCACACATACATAGAGGCAACGTGAAAGTGCTGCATCCTTTCCACCAACCCATAACTTGTTATCCAGAGAGTAAAATGTGTTTTGAGTTGGAAACAGCTCTTCTGTAACAAGCACAACCAGATCTCTTGTAAGAGCAAACTTTCTTAGGTCATTAAGTTGTTGTTTTCAAAGAGAAACTGTTATGATCGGTGCAGTGATGCAGCCTCTTCCAGAAGCCAGTGCCAGCCAGCAAATGACTGCAATGCACAGGAGATTAAGGACCTCAGGCAATGCACAGGAGACACAAAAAACAAAACCCCTCAGGCAGTTATATTTGGTGTGAGAACTGATTGTGTTACAAGTACATGAGTGAGCTGACTTCCATCTAAGGAATGCTGTGCAGTATAATCTGTGAAGCACTGCTTTTCTCCTGAGGCCAGACAAGGGAGGACTGTAAGGGGACGGGAATCTTCAGATTCCCCCCCCCCCCAACAATAACTATTTGTCAAGAACACCTGTGTCTCTGCCCAACTCAATACCCTATGTATTCAATGCAATACAACAGATTCTATTAAATGAAGTTTATTAAGTGGGTCCAAATACTACGTATGGTACATGGCAAAAATTAGGTCAATTTATTATCCCCTGGGATAGCTCAGTCAGTACAACATGAGACACTAAATCTCAGTGTCATGGTTTTGAGCCCCGTGTTGGGCAAATGATTCCTGCACTGCAAGGAGTTTGTTGGATGACACTCATGGTCCCTTTCCAACTCCACAATTCTGTGAGTCTATCAGACTTTGGGAAATGTGCATTATCATTATATTTGTGCTGATAATTGATAATATGAATATGGTTAGTATGAAGTATGAATGTATCCACAATGTTATGGGTACTAAAAACATTTCTGTTTAGACCAGCCTACCCAGATATCTAGAATGTTGATGTGTTTCGATTGCCATTTTTAATTTTAAAACGTTTAAGTAGTTGTTCTTAACTGGTTTTACCAAATTTTATCGCTTCATTCTTTTTGTAAACTACTTTGATGTGGTTTTTTTACCATCAAGCTAGCAAAACAGCTCGGTCAGTAGAGCGTGAGAATCTTAATCTCTCTTAATCCCCACGTTGGGCACAAAGATTCCTGCATTGCAGTGGGTTGGACTAGATGGCCCTTCTGGTGCATTCCAACTCCACAATTCCATGATTCTAAGCGGTGTATTAATTTTATGAAATATTTTTTTTAAAAATGGTATTAAAATGAACGGGATTGTCTCTTTCTTCTTTTCTTGTTTTTGCCATTTAATCATTAATTCTTTATCCAAGAGGGCTATCTGTATCTAGAAATACATTCCTTCAATACACACACACACTTTTTCCTGAAGAGGGGAGAAGAGCAAAACCAGACTGATACAAACCCTAGTCTCAACGGCATTTACACAGAACGTAAAAGGCACATGCAAGGTGCAACCCAGACTGGGACATGTGGGGAAATGGGTTTTAAACCTGCTGCGTTCCTCTCTGGACCAGACACCCCACACCGATTTGCACTGGGGGAGACAGATACTTCCCATTTGCTCCCAGGGATGCAGCCTCCCCAAGTACCAAGGGAAGGACAGCCACCTCTGTGGTGAAAGCTTTGGGGAGGAAGAGAAACATGCCATTGCAATTCACATGCCCCCTTAGAAGTGCAGTCTATTTCCAAAATGCAAAACGCGACGGCAGAATCCTGAGGGAGGTACAGCAAACAAACACCACTCGAATGCCTTAAACATGTCGCAGCCCTCCCCATGTCCTGCTGCGCTAGCTTTCTAGTTGCAGGGCGCCAACTTAGCTGCGCCCGGGAAAGGGGTTCCTGCATTCCTTCGCGTTTCTTCCGAGGCGATGCAGCGGCCCCGGCCGCCCCTTCCCTCCCTTGCTAGGCAGGAATATCGACTGCAGGTCGCCCGCCGCCCGCGCTCACTTACTTCTTCTGTTGCAGCAGGTGTATCTCGTCGGCGCTCCGCCGCCCGCCGCTGCCTCCCGGGCCGCCGCCGCCGCCGCCGGGTCTGCAGGTGCGCCGCAGCCTCTTCCAGAAAGCGCCCAAGAGGCCGTTCTCTCCAGGCACGGGAACCCCCATGGCTCCTTCCTTCCTTCCTTCCTTCCTTCTCCTTTGGCAGCGCCACAAAGAATAAAAAAAACAAGCAGCCGCCGCACCGCACGAGCCGCTGCCGCCTCAGAGGAATCCGGCGCCGGGGAGTCTTGCCTTCTTTTGCCCACTCACTTTGCCCTCGGGCGCCGCGGCGGTGCGCGCCTCTCTTGAGGCAAAAAGGAGCCGAAGGGAAGCCGTGGGCGCGCGGGGTTGGGGGAGGCCCGTCGCGCCGACCTCCACAGAAAGGACTCCCCTCACTCAGGGAGCACCTCGGAGGTGTCGAGCCGGCAGCGTCCGGTGCCGTCTTCTCCTTCGCCTCGCTCTCTCGGCTTTAGCGAGCGCGCGTCAAGTTTCCCGGCGAGACTCCGGACAGCACCTGCGCGCTTTTGGGGCGGGAAAAGGGCGGCGGGAACTCGCTTGAGGGCCAAGGTAAGATATAGCAGGCGGAGGAGGAGGAAGCGGGGAAGGGGCGGGCACTGGGCCGAGGAGTTGCCGGCCGGCCGGCCAGTCTTGAGGGCAGTTGCAAGGGCTTGGGCTGCCTCAAGAACCCCCGGGCAGATCTGGGGGCGCCGTCATCCATCAGGAATGATGCCTCTCGAATAGCAGGCGGTGGGGACGCACCCAGTGCTGGATTTAGGTACTGTATAAATTTTAAAGGAAAAACAACAACTGAAGATGATGGATTTGGGGGCGCTGGCCAACCTGATGGGAAGAGTCCGTGACCAGAGGGGGGAGGAGCACCAAGAGGACTGGAAGAAATTTGAAGATTATTTAGCAAAATATGTCAAGATAACATAAATAGAATTACTTGCGAATAGGCCTAGGATTCAAATATGTGATGTTGTGAAATACTACCTTAAAGTTAGAATGAAAAGAAAGATGTAAATTGACTAAGTAAATTTTATGTGAAAATAGTTTTGGAAAACTGCTGCAATGGACTATATGGAAACTCAGCTAAGGGGATTCGAGGAAGTCATTTAACAATGTTTTAAAAAATGGAATTATTATAGTTAGGATAAATGTTTGTTTGTTTGTTTTTTGTGTGTTTGTTATAAAATTGGAAAATTAATTTTAAAAAATTGAAAAAAAGGAAAAACAACAACTGGATGTACATTTCCAAAATATAAGATAAAAAAGAAATAACATCAAACCCACATACAGCAACAGTGTTTTGTGTTGTGTAGGCTCCTATGGTGTAAGTAATGGGCCCTGCCTGCTGGCCTGCTCCCAAAAATATCACTTATATTATTTCACTATTACTATACAGTACTTCTTAACTGTATTTCAGCTCAACAGTTACTTTGATAAAATACATATTTTGTTATGTGCAAATGGCTTTAGATACCTATTAGATCCATAAATTACCATATAGCATATATTCAACACAAAAAACAGTGACAATTTGTTGTTGACATAGGACAGCTGGACATATAAAGGGCCCCTAAGTAGAGTAGCTGAGTAGAGTTGCCATGTACAGATATCAAAAGTTGCATAGAAATGAAGTTAAATTGCTGGTTTCCCCAGCACACTTGCAATGACACAGAAAGCCACGTCTGAAGGTCTGGTGAGATTCAAGCACCTCTTAAAAGGACAGTTGCCTTTTCAAGATGTGATGTGAGCAACCTAACACACATGGCCCGGCCAAGACCTTTTGCCCCATGAGAAGGAAAATCCAGACAGTTCCTTTTCCCACTTCCTTGCTAGTTAACATGAGCCTCAATCCCCTTGGGTTTTTCCTAGCATAAGCTCCGTTGAAATGAAGGTGCCTTCACCTGACAAATATCCTGATGCAGGGTCCTTCCGGGGAGGAACATGGTGGATTCAAGTATTTTGTCAGCAGGCTACTAATGAAGATAGTTATGTGGCAATTGATGATACTCAGACATAAATCTTGGCTACAAAATTCACTCTGGAAAAAAGAGTGAACAGGGGATTGACCTTTGATGGACTTAAAAAGGCCGTTTTCTGCATTGGGAGCCCAAGAAACGGTCAGTTTCTGGGAACCCTGACAGGGTTAAGTGACTTGTGAGTGGAGGAATCAACATCTTACCCAAAAGCCACACAAGAGGCACTGGATCTGCAAAAGCCTATTTTCTTAATTATTTCTGAGATGGTTATAATTTATAACGGGCAGAGATTTCTCTATCTGCTGGTAGAAATTTACATTTGATGTGTGAGCTACTTTCTGGCTTCAAGAATAAGGGAATAAACCCGCTCCAATTGTTTGAGGCGTTTAAATGAGCAAGGTGGTTCTGTGTGCTAAGAATTTGTATTTTTGTTTATTTTTGTTTTCTGGGTGAAAGTGTTGCCTATAAATCAAAAGTAATTCGGACATTTGGCTCTGAAGATTGGGAAAATATTGCTTAACAGAAAGTAGAACAGTTGTATGTAACCCTAGAGTGAATGTTTATAATAATTTCTTTTACGTAAATAACAGATGGAAAATTGGAAGTCTTTTCGGGTATGTTGATAGTTGAGTTAATAATAACAATTAATTATTGTTGTGGTTATTAATTATTCATTGCTTACTACATAGTATGTCTCAAATTTATTTATTTACTTATTGAATTTATATACTGCCCTATACCCGGGGTCTCAGGGCGGTTCACTATTGTAATAACATTTAAAAAACAAAATTTTAAAAGTTGTTAAAAAGATAAAAGAACAATATTGACTAAAAGGGCTCATCCTGCAATATTGTAAAAAGCCTATTCAGCTTACTAAAATATGAATATTTTGTCTTCAAACAGCATCAGCCTAAGGGATTGAGCTATCACAGAGCACAAAACTTCAAGCAGCTTCTGGAATTGTTTGTTTGTGACCTGCATCAAGATGGCGATGCTCACTGGCTGCTTGTTTGCTGTTGTGTATCCTGTAATGCAGTGGTTTTCAACCAGTGTGCCGTGGCACCCTGGGGTGCCTTGAATGATGGTCAAGGGTGCCGCGGGCAACACTGGCCTCTGTTCCTCTTTCCTCCCCTCTGATGCCCTCTCTGTCTCCCAAAGGCTTGCACAGCTGTTTGTTGCAGCAGCCCTGGCTACAAGCTCCCCAGGCAAAGGGTGCCTCTGGGGCTGGCCAGGAGGTGCTTCCCAGGCCCCTGTCTGGCAGTGTGAGGAGGCACCTCTCTTTGGGGCAGTGGGGGGGGGCAGCTTCGACACCAGGGGCAGCAGCAGCGGCTGCCCAGAGGACTCTCAAGGAGAGGGGAGAAAATAGGAGGCTGAGGGAACACTCCACATGGGAGGGTGTTCAGAAAGTGTTGAGGGGCTGCTGGCTCTGTAAGCAAGGGGTAACATAACTGAGCTCCTGAGCCCCACAGGGGTGCCACAGAAAGAGTATAGTTGGTCAAGGGAGCCATGGACTCAAAAAGGTTGAAAACCTCTGCTGTAATGCATTACTGAGAGTTCATACCTCATGTTACGTTTAGTTCATGTTACGTTCTTTCAGGTTACGTCCCACGGTGTCCCGGAAGTACCGGAAAGGGTTACTTCTGGGTTTCGCTGCTTGCGCATGCACAGAAGCGCAAAATGACATCACGTGCATGCACAGAAGTGGCGAATCGCAACCCGCGCGTGCACAGATGCGCCACTGCAGGTTGCGCTCTTTTCATGTTGCGAACGGGCCTCCGGAACAGATCCCATTCGCAACCAGAGGTACCACTGTATTGTTGTAAGATAGGGCTGGACAAGAGTGGGTTAATGAAGCTGGAGACTGCCTTAACAGCCCTAGGGAAGTAACCAAGGGGGAAATGTGTTTTGAGTGTGCTTTAAAGGTCTAGTGCAGACACAATCTTATTCTCTGCTGTCTTGACAGGCAGGACTAGATCTAATAGCTGCAAGTTACAGTGGAGTAAAATCATAGACTCATAGAGTTGGAAGGGACCACGAGGGTCATCTAGTCCAACCCCCTTCAATGCAGGAATGTTTTGCCCATCGTGGGGCTTGAAGCCATCGCCCTGAGATTAAAAGTCTCATGCTCTACTGAAGTGACTGAGCTGTGAATAGTAGGAGAAAGATCCTGACATCAAACAGACACACACTAAGTTCTGGACCTTTTCATTTTACTTCCCATTAGCGCTTGTAGGTTGAAGGTTTGTCGTTGGATTTTGTTTTCTCTCCGCAGGTTATGCCTTTAAGCATGACACCAGGCATCAGGGATAAGCGGCACTGCTGGCGAAAAAGGATGGTGCTGCCACCATTTTTTCAGAGATAACACTTGTTCATTCCAGCTGATTGCAGATGGGCCAGAGGACAACACTGGTTCAAAGCTAGATAAGGTTTTGAGATACCCATTGTAATAGGTGCCGTATAAATACCTAAGGCAGATAGGAAGGCAGGTAAGTTCCTATGCCGCAATCTCGCAGTCCCCACCCTCCCCCTTGGGCTCTCTGGCTCCAGGAGCATTAAGGTGCTGCTCCCTGTATCTTCCGGGAGCATTGTCACATCTCTTACCTGAACAATCACAAGGTATCTAGTGTGCAAATGCTACACCTGTAGTTTAAACAGCGAAACTATGAGACAGTAAAGGTATATTGGCTGCTAGTTGATTTTAAGACAACTGATAGTAAACATATCTCCCCTCTGTCTCCTTTTGCCTCTCCAGCACCCCTGGGTGTCAGGGGATGTGTGGGGGAAAGTGGTCCAAATACAGAAAATAACAGTTCCCAGAGGGGCAGCCAACACACACAAAAATTCTTGTGGCATCTTAAATGTATTATGGCACAAACCTAGGGCATACTAAATCCAGGGTGGCACAAGATGCTTGTTGTTCATGCAGAAAGCAAAATTCAACTAAGGAAATAGCACAACCATACCCTGCAAATCTAATAGATCATGACAACAAGCCCTAAACAACCTGCTACAAGATTGTGGAATGGGAAATTTAGTGCAATGGAAAGGAATACACTACGGTGCAGTACAGAGGTAGCCGATGTTGTGCCATTCAGAGGTTGCTGAACTACAACTCCCATCATTCCTGACCATTGGCCATGCTCACTGGGATTGATGGAAATTGTAATCCAGCAACATCCGAAGGGCATCACATTTGCTTCTGCTGGAGTAGTGAAGAGAGTTAGAATTAGATGGTGGTAGACTCAGTCTCAGGGAGGCGGGTGGCGCTGTGGTCTAAACCACAGAGCCTAGGGCTTGCCGATCAGAAGGTTGGTGGTTCGAATCCCCACGATGGGGTGAGCTCCCGTTGTTCTGTCGCATCTCCTGCCCACCTAGGAGTTCGAAAGCATGTCAAAGTGCAAGTAGATAAATAGGTACCACTCTGGTGGGAAGGTAAACGGCGTTTCCGTGCGCTGCTCTGGTTCACCAGAAACGGCTTAGTCATGCTGGTCACACGACCTGGAAGCTGTCTGCGGACAAACGCCGGCTCCCTTGGCCTATAGAGCGAGATGAGCGTGCAACCCCAGAGTCATCCGCAACTGGACCTAATGGTCAGGGGTACCTTTACCTTTACCTTTTAGACTCAGTTCCTGTTTAGCTCAGCTATGATGTTCACGCGATGGTCTTCACTCTTGAACATGCAAAGCTGTCTTAAACTGCATATGTTCACTGATGACTCACCTCACCCAGTGGCTTTGCAGTGCCTCAGACCTTCTACTGATACCCTTTGAATCTGAGGTGCCAGGCACAAGATATTTTCAGAGACATTGTGGGTTTACGGCATGTAAGTTGACTCACTGAGCAACTTGGAATAATTGGGTGAACAGGATTCAGTGCAGTAGATATAGGAAGACTTGCAGCATAAATAATAAAGAGGTGTGATCACAGCAGGAAGTTCCTTCACAACAGAACTTACTGGAAATTGCTTCCTGGCAGATGTGGGATTTAAGTCCCGGTGTCATGAGCAACAGCTGAGCTATACCTTGTGCAGAATAAGAATAAGGCTGCTGGACTGCAACACTTCAGACTTGAGGGGGTGGTAAAGACTGAGCATAAGGCTGCTCACCTTAAACTTAAATCAGCTAGGGTTGCCATATGTCCTCTTTTCCCTGGACACATCCTCTTTTTCAGAATTAAAATATCCGTCCAGGCAGATTTTTAAAATTTGGCAAAATGTCCAGGGATTTTTGTTTGTTTTATTACAGTAATATTACACAGTAAACATACTATATAAATCCCTTTTCTTGTGGCTGAACTAAAAGGATGCTGGCTCAGCTACAAGATCTTGCAGAAGGAGTTAACTTCCCCCTGCCCTTAATGAGAGTCCATATGTACATGTTAAACAGTTTAAATAATTGTTCTGTGCACACTTAAGTTCACAAAGATGTGATCATGAGCCCAAATACTTTCATGTGGCAAGTGAGGGAGCAATATGTATTATTATTATTATTATTATTATTATTATTATTATTATTTGTTATTGTTGAAAGTTAAGAACATTGCTACTAGCAATATATCCATAGCCTACATATAGTAAAAGGTAAAGGTAAAGGGACCCCTGACCATTAGGTCCAGTCATGACCAACTCTGGGGTTGCGGCGCTCATCTCGCTTTATTGGCTGAGGCAGCCGGCGTACAGCTTCTGGGTCATGTGGCCAGCATGACTAAGCCGCTTCTGGCGAACCAGAGCAGCGCACGGAAACGCCGTTACCTTCCTGCCGGAGTCGTACCTATTTATCTACTTGCACTTTGACGTGCTTTCGAACTGCTAGGTTGGCAGGAGCAGGGACCCCGTCGCATGGATTCGAACCACCAACCTTCTGATTGGCAAGTCCTAGGCTCTGTGGTTGAGAGTCACCATAGCGACGCATAGTTAGAAGTAGAAGTCGGCAAATGAATTCCTCTTTTTTGTTCTTCAAAATGTGGTGACCCTAAATCAGGCCCCCACTCTAAAGTGGGGCACATCACTTTAGCTGGGCAATTCGCCACTCCTCCTGGCTTTCCTAAACTATACCACCCATTTGTTGTCTGTTTAAATATCCCACCTCTTACTTTGGGTATTGTCAGGGACTAGTCTGAGGAGGAATGGTGGAGTCTCTCCCCCCCCCCCCCGCCCGGCACTTCCCAGAGAAAAGGGAGCCAGTATAGATTTACAACAGTGGTTTGCAGAAGGTCATAGTCAGAGTCTGCAGAGGGGAGAAGATGGGAAATATTGGGAGAGGAGCAGCAGGGAGAAGAAGCCCGGGGGGGGGGGGCAACTGCTGACAGATTCAGTGTCTTTAGAAAGCATACCTGGCACACACCCCCTCGCAGGACCTGGCAGGCATTGGGAATGGAAGAACAGAAAGCTCAGAGGCAAGGAAGTACAGATCAGCCCCTATTCCATCTTCATGTATGCGACAACGGCCACGAGAGTTCTGGTAGCACAAGGATGGAAGACTGAAGAAACCCCAACTGAAGAATCATGGCAAGAAAACTTGACGGACTATGCAGAACTGGCAAAACTGACATATAAGCTACGGGACAAGGATAACTGTGACTTTCAGGATGAATGGGAACCCTTTACAAAGTATCTGAAGACACATCAAAGTGAACTGGACTCCTTGGCAGGTTTTGAATAAACATTCACAAACTTTTTATTGATAATAATCAGCTAAATAGTTTGAGGAACTATACGACTTTGTAACATGCAGAAAACAGCAGTCTCAGAGAAACCAAAGACTGGAACTGAGGGAAGTCGGGGGGTGGGGGCGGGCGGGTTTTATGTGGGGGAGGGGGAGGGAGGAAAAATGGGGGGGGGACAAGGATGATATGTTTTTGGATAATATGTCTTGTTTTAATTTTGAATAAAAAAAATTTTTTCAAAAAGGAAGCACAGATCAGCCAATGCAGGGATGACGTAGAATAGGAGAGACGAAATGGGTGGGACTTTACTCAGATCAACGCCATTATCTAAGAAAGACGGCATTTCTACATCTCTGTGAATATTGAATAAAAGACTGGTAAGAACTCTTCTTGTTTATCTACTTCTTGGCTGCCGCCATGGGAGGGGTCGGATTCCCTGAAGCCTGACAGGTATGTATAGAAAAGATTTTAAAAGAAAAAAAAATTGAAATGTAAAAATGAATTGGGCACGTTTGAGAAATCCATTTAAAATCCTCGAACCCCCTGTGTAGGGTTGGGTTTCATAGGATGCTCATCTTGGGGCAAAATTCCCCCTCTGCCAGTGACCTCATCTGTAAGAAAAGAAAACTCACCTTGGTAGACAACGTGCAGCTACCAGGAGATGGAAAAGGAGATGAACCAAAACACAGTCATCCTTTTGACATTTGCACATCTCTGAATTTGGCTAGTAAAGTGTACAGAGGTGCACATAGTAAGATGCACATGTACTGGTACATGCATTGTAGTAATGCATTAGACAAAATAGATTTGCAATGATGTTCATACTAGGCAAAATTGCACACATCTATATTAGTTGAAACTTGTACCAAAATGCTGATAGATTTTTGTGAGAACTTAAAAAATAATAATCATAGACTGTTGTGGAAACAAGAACGGAACTTAGGACTGCAATATCTCAAGAACCGCCTCTTTCCATATGAACCTGCCCAGACCCGGAAATCATCTTCTGAGGCCCTTCTTCATTTACCTCCTCCTTGAGAGGTCCGGAGGGTGGCAACATGAGAACAGGCCTTCTCTGTGGTGGCTCCCTGTCTGTGGAATGCTCTCCCCAGGGAAGTTCACCTGGTGCCTTCATTATACACCTTTAGGCGCCAGGCGAAAACTTTCCTTTTAAACCAGGCCTCTGGTTGATCTGTTTGACATCCTATACCCTTTTAAAATGTGACTATTGGGTTGTTGTTTTTATTCTGATTATATATACTGTGATCTTTCCTGTGAACTGCCCTGAGACCTCCGGGTATAGGGCAGTATATAAATTTCAATAAATAATAATAATAAATTAAGATTGGGAAACAGAGAGAAACTGAAAGTGACACATTTGCCATCCCTAGTGGCACAGACATAAAGGAATGCCTGTTGGTTCATAGTTGTAACCAACAGGAAATCCGGGGGGGGGGACGGGACACAATACTCTTTGTATTGTTTCCTGAATTTATGGTGCTGCAATCAGAAACCAGGAGCAGGGGGAAGCTGCTGGGTAGAAGGATATAACCACTCTGTGCTTGCCTGGCATTAAAAGACACCGTCATAATCAAATAGTAATCTCCTTTGACTTACTCAGAAGCAACAAGAGAATTCAGGAGCGTGTGAAAGAGAGAGATGCCAGGCTGGCTTGATTCAGAGCAGGAAGCAGTTATCAATTAAAACAGGCAGGAGGAAAACTCTTAGATGGTAACTGCACATCATGCAATGCTAACTATCCAGAATTTCAAGCAGTTGGTGTTCAGGACCAAGTGTTCTCAAGCCTCTAGGGTCAAAATAATTTAATATGCAATAATATCCACCACTCAGGAATGCACTGAAGGAAACTCTGAGATTAAGCATTTTTCTGTTGCCACCTGTGACAGGATTAACCTATTGGAGAAAGGTAGTTACGGATGTTTGTAACTGGCATTCAACCATCTAATTTGAAACATGTCTTTAATATCTGTTTTTAAACTTTTCCCCAAAGAGGTCCCAGCACAAAACAGCACTTATAGACTTTTGGGATCAACAGGAGAGTTTGTTGTGAAACAATTAAGCCTTGCTTATTTTTATTTTTTTTAAATAATTTTTATTAAAGATTTCTAAGTTTACAAAAATACCTGCATTGTCTCTTTTTTCCAAGTTGTGTTTTCTACAGATCAGTTTCATTTGTTGTAGGACATTAGTGTTGCATGCAGTACAGTGGTACCTCTGGTTACAAACTTAATTTGTTCTGGAGGTCCATTCTTAACATGAAACCGTTCTTAACCTGAGGTACCACTTTAGCTAATGAGGCCTCCCACTGCCACCACTGTGCGATTTCTGTTCTCATCTTGGGGCAAAGTTCTTAACCCGAGGTACTACTTCTGGGTTAGCGGAATCTGTAACCGAAGTGTTTGTAACCCGAGGTACCACTGTATTAGATTCAATACTAAGATTCTTTGAAAATAGGGTACTGTTGACCCCCCTCTTTGATGCCGTGTGATAAGCCAATGGTAGAAGAGGACCAGGAAAAATCCAAAAAGGAGAACCGACCCCCAAAGGTCTGGTCTGATCATCATAAACAAGAAACCCCAAAATTAAAAAGGAAAAGCATACCCTTACATGACTTGCGATGCCCTGTGAGCAAGCTGGTGCTTCCTACCACGCCTCTTCAGCCAGCCAGTCCCCAGCAGATATATAGATATATAAGGCATTATCTTCTGCTGAAGGTCTGCTGGTTGAGTGGCTATAGCATTCAGCTGCTAGTACAACTGCAAACCAGACAAATCTCCTGCATCCCTAATTCGCAACAATCGAATTATTATTCCGAAAGCAAGTTGCCTGAAACCTGTGACTTTAGCTGTTGTCAAATCCAGAGAAAGCTGCCCACCGTGTAAGTTGTATTCCACCAAGCAAGCCAGTTCCTGCAAAAACTGCCTTTAGAAAGAGAGATGATCGCAAAGCAAACACACAGCATCAAGATCCCAGGAATGTCAAACAACAAGTGGTGCTACCTGACCTCTCTTCAGAAATTGTTACCTTGGGAGGTCTAACTGGAGACCAGGTGAGTGCACAGGGGTCATTTGACCGGCAGTCAAAACTCAGCCACCTCCAAAAGGGGCAGCTTGAGAACATCTTCCCTTGGAATAGCTGCACAGGTGATATGGAATCAGCAAGCACACCAGGCCTGCAGCTGCAGAAGAAGAAGAAGAAGAGTTTGGATTTGATATCCCGCCTTTCACTCCCTTTAAGGAGTCTCAAAGCGGCTGACATTCTCCTTTCCCTTCCTCCCCCACAACAAACACTCTGTGAGGTGAGTGGGGCTGAGAGACTTCAGAGAAGTGTGACTGGCCCAAGGTCACCCAGCAGCTGCATGTGGAGGAGCGGAGACGTGAACCCGGTTCCCCAGATTACGAGACTACCGCTCTTAACCACTACACCACACTGGCTCTCCCCTGGCTCTGCAAATGTAAGGGAGGTAATGATGGAACCAGAGACCATAGCAACATCCAATGCCAAACTTAAAGCAGAATTAATAGCCATCCTCTGCCCCTCGGGAATCCTGGGAACACCCTTTCTGTGGTGGGGGTTAGTAATTAGTCAACACCCTCACCAAACTACATTTCCTAAGAATATTTGGGGAAGCCATGATGTACATATTGTACAAAACATTAAGTTCACTTGCCTTAATTGGTCAGGCCAATGGCAGGTACAGGGGTTCTCCAGGGAGCAATACCAACCAGCCAATAAGCATTTCTTTAGTCTGCCCCCGGGGGAATAAACTGAGGCCAGCCCAGCACTCCTCCTCCTTTCATGGTAGACCTTGCAGTAGACATTGTCGGCTGCCATATTTGGAGCTGGGCAGGAGTTTTTCCACTTGGCAAATTGTCACCGGCCACTTGGTTTTTGCCTGTCTCATAGCAATTATCACAACTTTGTGAGGTTCAGGGCTCAGCAAACTTTTTCAGCAGGAGGCCGGTCCACTGTCCATCACACCTTGTGGGGGGGCAGACTATATTTTGGAGGGGAAAATGAATGAATTCCTATGCCCCACAAATAACCCAGAGATACATTTAAAATAAAAGTACACATTCTACTCATGTAAAAACATGCTGTTCCTGGACCGTCCACGGGCTGGATTTAGAAGGCTATTGGGCTGGATCCAGCCCCCAGGCCTTAGTTTGCCTACCCATGGATTAGGCATTGAGTTTGAAAGCACGTCAAAGTGCGAGTAGATAAATAGGTACCACTCTGGCAGGAAGGTAAACAGCGTTTCCGTGCGCTGCTCTGGTTCGCCAGAAGCGGCTTAGTCATGCTGGCCACATGACCCAGAAGCTGTACGCCGGCTCCCTCGGCCAATAAAGCGAGATGAGCGCCGCAACCCCAGAGTCGGCCACGACTGGACCTAATGGTCAGGGGTCCCTTTACCTCTTTAAGCCTTAGTCTTAGCTGGAAGGGAGATTGTAATCTCTGCCTGTCCCTCCTTGGTTAAGGGTATCCCTTTGGAGTGATCCATGAGGAGTTGCTTCTGTCCAATGCCCAGACAGGGGCTAGGGCCATAGAACTCCTCCAGCAAGGACCCCTCGAAGGGCACCCCTATTTGATGCAAGGCATAGGACCTCTTCCCCACAATGGTGTGATATACTCCCAGCAGACGGGCTGGAATTAAATAAATGGCTTCACCCAATGCCTATGCCAAAACCTCACATCTGTAGCCAATAAAGTTGTGGCCTCTTTGAACCCAAACACTCTAAATGCTGCTGTCTGGTCCAATTATTTCATTACAAAGGGAGCTGCTAGGTCATGGAGTCTTGGCACAAAACAACCACTATATTAGACTTTAATATGTTGGATTTTTTGAAGGGGAAAGAGGATTTCAAATAAAATCTCAGACTGAAATGTGGAGAACTGAACTCAAGATTGGAAAGGTGGGAAATGGAGAGAAACCAAATTTGACAGATTTGCTAATCCCTACTCTGATGCGAGAATAACTTGACTCAGCTTGGGGAGTCTGTATATCTCGGCCTGGTGGAGGGGTGAAACTTGTTGCTCCATCTCTGGCAGCAAAATGCCTTGAGGCAGCCCTGATCCAACAACAATCATATAATCTAT